ATTCAATTTAATAGCTAGTATGCCAGCCATCATACTTAATAACATCAGCCACCCTATGTGGCATGGTCTCGGAGAGATGCTGAAATATCTCAATATCTAGCGTTTCCCATGCTTCTTGCGCAGCATTAACTAGTAATTCTAGCGTAGCTTCGTTGTTTGGTAGGTGCATAAGCTCAGGATAACGCTTCAATATTTCGGCTTTTAGCAGCGCCCATAGGTTCTCAATGGGATTTAAATCAGGTGAATAGGGTGGCCATTCCATGATTTCACATTCAATCTCATTAAGGGCGTCCCGTACGATATGTGCAGTGTGTACCGGCGCGTTATCTTGCTGAAAAATAGCATTATTATTAATGCTATTAAGTAGCGTAGGTAAGAGGCGCCGATACAGCTCTTCAATTGTACGCGAAGAAACACCACCTCTTCTAGATGTAGGATCTCCGAAAAGTGGAATTAGACCTGATCGACGCGGTAGGCCAGAGAAAGCAGCCCAAAACATCTGCTTAATTTGCTTCCCTCGCGCCGGAACCATTTGAACTTGAGGGCCTTCAGAATGCTGAGAAAGCTGGTCTTTCGGACGTATAAAGGTCCATTCTTAACGCTGTCCGATACCACGTTCAACCGTACATTCGTCCGACCAGTAGACACGGGCCCAATCTGTAGACGTAAAATGCTGATATCTTCGAGCCCAATTTAGGCGTTTTTCGGCGTGTAAAGGCGTTAAAGAAGGCCGCTGCATTTTCCTCCATTTTCGGAGACCCATTTCATGGGTGAGGCGCCAAATTGACTGGCGGTGGACCTTATAATCTATCTCTCCAAGTAGATCTTCGATCAATATTGAAGGATTTTCTTGTATAGTATCGTAGATATGGTCACGATCCTCTCCAGTAAGCTTCCTCGGGGTGCCTAAGCGTGGAAGACTTTGCTGCTTTTGACGTTTTACCTCTTAGGTAAGGGTATATTGAATAGTTGAGCGTGGAATGTCGGGAAAGCGTATCTTCTTAATAGTATTCGCACCCTAGCCGTTTGTAGCATGTAATTCGCAGATTTTGGCCCTAGTAAGGCAGTCAAGCTCTGGGCCTCTCTTACCACGTATAGGAGGCATAATTAATGAGAAAATTGTAAGAATTGTATTAAAACGCGTTGATATATAGCGTGTATACTAGCGTGTTGATGAACGCGAGATTTCATGATCTAAAATAGTAGGCGGTCTAAATTGGCGGTCAGGGCCCGAAGTACCGGTGGTCAAATACTTTTGTTACACCACTGTACTTTTTTCTGAATCTTTTTTTGAATCACGACGTATTCAGGCTACAATATCCTTTCCAGCTTTAGGCAGTATTCAAATACGATAAAAGAGCAAATATATAACGGTGTGAGAGAAGCTTTTGTATCAGTTCTATATAGTAGAGTACATGGGGCTTCTAGAACAAACCACTCGAAACCAGCCAAACATATCCCGGGCCTACTTGGTAAGCCAAGTATTATTGAGAGACAATTATTCAGGGCTGGAGAGTATGAAATGCATTACATCGAAGCATTCCAACGTGATTGTGACTAGGTACTAACGTGTAGAGCGAGGTAATGTAATCAAAGGGTCAAAATCGTATGATAAATTCAACAATGCCCGCTACATTGAAACTTCAAAGCGTGTAGAATGCAGCGGAATTCTACACAACTCAAGATGAATTAGAGGATTCACTTAGTCCAAGGTAAATTAAATCTTCAGTATCTTGCCAGGGCGTTGACACTAGGAACACTTGGAGAATATTCATCACCATCATCGTCACAGAGAAACGTTGCATGTTTCCTTCCAATGACCTTGCAATCTACCTATCCGCTCAGATACCAAGCGTTAACAATGTGAACGACACTGAAGATCTAGTACTAGTATTACTTACACCTATAGCAAAAGTCATGCCGTCTAGGGCAGACGTTTCCCGAATGACCTATATTTTTACCTTTTCCATTAACAGTCAGAATTGAGCGAGACAAAGCTGTGTCTTAAAGCTTACTTACATCTCTCGCATTGAGCCTCTGGGCAATCTCTTTCCATGTGCCCAAATTTTCTGCAATTCCAACAGTGAACGGGTGCCCAAGACGAATGTTCGCTTTCGCCCGATGTCTCACTGTCGAACCCATCTTCCTCTTCTTCCTCTGTTATTCCAACGTTGTTGAAATTGTTTACTGCTCAAAAAGGTCAGCCCAAGGCTTCCAATATTGAAACTAGGTATAGAAAGTAATAAAATAATGAAATTTTGAAAAAAGAAAGGCATAATCTGATTTTCAACAGAGCTGCACGCAGCTACTTGGGCTTTGTTGAGACGTAACGCAAGGCTTATGTCACTTCGACAGAGTTGACAGGAGGTGTAGTATACCACCAAATATCGGCATTGACACAGAGTGCCAACTCTATATTTGATCCTTACCGTAGTGATAGGTTTGGGTTCCACCATGGTTCTGCTGCCCGTTGACGTTGTTCTGTATCCCATATCCCTGGTTGATGTAGTTGGTTTGTGCCCCTCCACCGCTGTTGAAAGATTCGGGGATATTTTCTTCGGGTAGTGATGACGGAAGCGAATCGAGTTTTTTAATGGATTCTTTCAGCTCGACTAGGCGCGTCGATGTTGCAGAGCGAACGAGGTCATTGTTGACAATCTGCTGGAGGTCTGTGTATAAAGCTTTTACAAGGTCTTCAACTTTTCTTCCCTTCCCGAACCTCCCCGTGACAGCAGTGCGGTAGCGTTTCAACCATCCGTCCTTTTCCCCGTGCATCGTCTTTTTAAGAATGTTCTCCAATTCTTGAGCTTTTTCGTAGCAACCCTCAATTATCTCCTCTAGGGCTTCAAGCAGCTCTTTTGGTATATGAGACTTTTTCTCTTCGAAATTTCTTGCGCAGATCGCAAGTGTATCGCGAAGTAAAACCATAGGGCCCTTGAGGGCTTCCAGGGTATCAGAAAGTTTGAGGTCCTTCTGAAATCTCTCGTAGAGATCGATCGATTGTCCAATAATGCCAGCGACGGCGGAAATAGTGCTAATGACTTCAACGCCTGACATTTTCGGAGGAAGTGGTCGATAGATATCTGGGCTTTTAAAGACTTCACAATCAAGAATTGGAGGAAACAGTAGGAGTGAATATTCAAGTGTACGAAGCAGTGCTCAATCGATTTATATAAAGCATAGCATTATTTACCCAGGTAGCCACTCCATTTGCCCGGGCTGTGACAGCAATATCTTACTACATAAACCACGTACATTAGTTTACTATTTCCACCAATTGATAACCCAATCGACTAAAGCGCGCGACAAGCCATGAATATTGATTGGACAAGGATTATCCACTTTCCAAAAATAAAGCTCGAGCTGCCGGACACTGCCTCAATGAGATAACAGCTACAGCAACTCGTGATTTGAATTCGAGTATATTGGGAGCTCCATGTTTGATTGACTAGCAAATAACCTAACGCAATTTTTTTATTACGCGCGGTGTGCGAAGTCCACGATATTCAGGACAGTGGTCAGTGCGTCGGTTATCCACTAGAAACGAAGTGATTCCGACCTAACATCCTCTTTTGATGCACCTGCTTCGCGCGCGCGACCGTGGCGGTGATCACCTGTTTCCCTACTCCGTATTGCGTTATTGTAATTGACTACCCGTCATACTTGAGACTTCAGCCGCATTATTCGGAAGTTTCATTTGCGTGCGCCCGGAAGAGGCTCATTCAACTCTGAATTGGCGTTTCCATCTAAGTGGCATGAGCGGAGGCATTAGCTCATATGAATGGAAATTCTAGTGGCATATGATGAGCGATTTCCCCAGATGTAGTTAATAAAGTGAATTCATAATTCGCAGTCTGACATAATGATTGTGATGACTCTTGCTGATCGCGAAATGCTATGGATAAAAGTAACCGGGATAGATTTCCACGCAAGTCTCGTACGCCATACGCATTTTACCTATCCAGGTACTGTAATATACGAGGCGGATTCAACCTAGCCCCTCAATTGAATGTGACCTGCTTAATGGTAGTGTCCAGCACCCTTGGTATGAGGCCCACAGCTTCCTGATAGCCCACTTTGGGATTCCACATATGCCCATTCCGAATGAGCGAGAAATACTGATTTGGCTGGAAGGGTCTTGAATAAGGGTCAAAACGGGAAGAACAACGCGCCCATTCACTCGTTAGGACGTCTGCCTCAGCTAGAATGATTCCGAAGCAGTCTCCAATAAGCCTAGCACACAGGTCACTTGTGTCGATAATATCTTCCACGGATTGTATTTGATTTTCATTTCTCTGGTGCTCCTCTTCTGTCATTCCTTCTATGTGGTAGATGTGATGATCGAGCTCACCATAGTTATAGAGGCATCTTGCATCAAATGCATCCTGGTCATCGATCAAGTCTGGATCATCGATCATTTGCTTAATTGCCTGCATTTTTTGCACCAGCCTCCTCACAGGTACATTTTTGCAATAACCTGCTAGCATTCTCGGGTGGACATTTATAGTAAACATCCGTTCTTCTGTTTCCACGAGAAAAATGGGCAGCGATTGTCTCTGCTGTCATAAGCATGTGGGAGCACGGCGGACACTATATATTGATATTCTTTTGGCCAGTCTCGCCATTGGTGGATCTCTCTTCAAGACGATCTATCATGGAGGAGATTTTATTAAACAGTCTTTGACTGGACCCAAAACCCGAAGTCAACCTCTTGTAACTTAGACTTTCGCGTGGTTCTTGGAGTTGTTGGTAAGAGAGACATTCTTTAGCTGTCGGTTCGATAGGATAGCATTTTGCTACACTAATATCAGATCGGTATTTCTTGGCATGGCATCTAATGAATACATTAATATATCATGACATGAATACTGTAAGGAGAGCATGCATTTTTTTGGAAAGACCCTCTAGTATCTCGCGATTGCTTTCACTTGAAGGCCGAGTCTCTGCTATCACTGTATGAGGGTCAGTATCATCTCTAAAACCTTCGAAATAGAACAATATTTACCTGGCCTTTCCAAAATTTCTACTTATATTCATATAGATGTTAGCTACGCAACCTTGGAATGGGACAAATAGTCACATTATTGTATGTGATCAAAAGAGCCCCCACACCTACCCACTTAAGTATGAATTGTAATAAACCAATCCATATTTAAAAGCTGCATCCTAGATCACAAATGAAAGGTCGGAGGTTTGACTTATAGTTCTGACTAGGTCGTTTGATCTTCGCAATTTCTGCCTCGAGTCCTTTGAGAACACTCGCAATATCTTTTATCCCTATCTTGCGGACTATTTCTCGGTGATCGGCGTCTATGGTTTCAACTGTTTCATGGGCCTAGCTAAGCTTAGAAGAGAAGTCATCAACTACCTATGGGGTGGAAGTCAGCATGGTTAGAGAATAGATCGGTTACGAGTACTTGCCTTGCCATTTACTCCTTTTACCCCAATAAAAGCTCTTCCCTCTTGAAAGGTATGAATCGTCATAGGCACGTGGTGTAGAAGTTTCAAAAAGTCCTCCTAGATGAGGTCCAATATTTTAGAATCAACACGGAGGTCTGAAAGTAGCTTAGAGTTCGTATCCATTAGAGCCACGGCAGCCAACTTGGCAGCTATCCCGCCCTATGCAGCCGCATTACTACCGCGATATGGGGTACCGCAGAAGATTATAGCTTAAATTCGGTGTAAGAAATGTAGATACCGTAAGTTGAGATGTGTCTGTATCCGTTGTATTGCCTAAGAAGCTGAGTAAGGCCGCTCGTCGTAGCTTAAGACAAACAAAACATACCGCCTTAACCACTAGGCCGCCGAGGCTATGAGTAACGAAGATAATAGGCAACTGAATTGATATTAGACCAGATATTTCATTCGCAGCTAGCACTTACATTACTCTCTAATTCCCGTTCCAATTTTACTATTCTTAAAAGATCATTTCTATGTTATAGGATGCTGTTACTATTATTGGCCTAGAAAAATCCCTCGGTAACCGTAGCGTTATAACTATATGTCCAAATATTAGTAAGGGGCATGATTGAAGCTAGTAAATTAACCGGCTAGTAAATTTTCCTCCCTCCGCTGGTGGGGCTAGTACTAGCAGGGCCAGCATTGGAAGAAGAAAACCCCAATCTGGCTGCTATACTGTGCCTCGTCCTTTTCTTGGTCGACGTTAAATCGAGCCCGGCACTAATTGGAGTCTCAAAATCTCGTAGGGTAGGATCTCTGTACTCCTAGGTATCCCGAGGATGGCCTCGTAGGCCGTCGATGAAGATAACGCTATTATGAATCGGTCATTTTAGATGCCGTTGCACTTAAAGCTACCATATCAACTCACTTGACTGTCTCTTTTGACCTAGTCTTAGCATCGGTGCGTGGGTGAAGCAAAGTCAGACCTAAGCGTTCTACTTAAACTAAGGCAGACAAATCATCTATCTTAATAAAATGCGATAGCCTCTTCCGAATGAGCCTATACTTTGGAACCTAGTCAAATCGTGTAGGCCTAGTTTCCTTTAAACGTGTTTAAGGTGAGTCTAAGGTTGATTCCACTCTTAAGATCGGAATAGTGGCGCAGTGTAAGGGAAAGATATATAAGCGAGCTCTTTTTCTCCGGACTATTTATAGTCACGGGGATAGAGGAGAGGTGCGACTTTAGTGTGAGATTCAACGCTGATCTTGCTTGTAGTAGTTAGTCTCTTATAAGTCATGTAGGGGCAATCACACTTGAATGGTTATAACGTGGCACACCCGATAGGGCTTAGCGTGGATTGATAGGATAGCAATTGCTTGCTAATCAGAAAGACAACATGGCCATCTTCTGCGCTAACTTAGAACAGATACGGAAGCAGTATGTGTAGAATTTGTAGGGTTGCGGATTTAGTTTTCAAATATTTGTACGCTATTTGGGGTAAATTTGACATTAATGTTTCTTAATTATGTTTGGCTCTTAATAAATGAGCGCCTCCACAAATTGTCCACATTTTTGTGATCTAGACATCGCTAGCTGCTTCACCTACCTTGTTATAGTATAGAGCGCTGCAAGCATAGTGGCTATGATTCAGCTGAAAGGGGTCCGTGCGGAAGTGGCCGGGCTATTCTGACTTAGGCAGCAGCAGCTTAGTAAATGCTGGATGAGAGCTTTGGCATCCGTGATTTTTCAAGATGCGATAAACTTGAATGGTTATATGCCATTGAAAGGGTTAAAGGGGCTTTATAGCGGAGGAATATATGTAGATAGACTCCAATTTTTCTACCCGAGTCTTTTTCCACTTGAGTTAGTCCTGTGACAAATCAGTGCACACTTAGTAAGCGGCGATCAGGATTCGTGATCATCAGCTACAAGATTGAAGCCCATTTAAGCAGCAATATAGAGGTCATTTTGATGCATAGTTCCATTGAATCGACGCTCGACTGAAAGATCGTCCTAGTAGTCAGCTGCCAGGAATTCCCGGAATTATACCAAAACATCATGTCAACAATTTTCATGTACATACTATCATCACTTTCTTTATGGACTGTTTGATCTGGTTTGTGCATAACTATTTTCGATCGTTCAATTTAGCTCCGTATATTGCTAGTTATTCAATCCACTTCATCGATTTATTTGAACGATATAGCCAGACACCTAGGTTGCGAGTCAATTCACGGCCGCCTAATGTAGGGGATATTATGGCATTTAGATACTTGGTTCATGCAGCCCTGTACCAATGCCATGGAACAAGTTCCTTTGGTCTTGGGAGCACTTACTCAGAGATCCAGACTAGGCCATGACATTCGTCCTAGGATAAAAGAGATGCATCATGCCTGATGATCAAGAAAGGACCTTTTATAATGATTACTACTACATAGGTCTCAATACCTCAATTGGACACGATGCTGCTCTCTTACCTATAACAGCTCCCGGATTTCGAACATTACTGTATGTTATAGAAAACCAAAGGAAATAGTGCGTACTGTGTCCTCGGAATTTATAGTTATCAAATAGGTATTAGCCCGTTACACTATTAGGCCTTCTATTCTGATCGCGGAAGGAAGAAAGGTTCCGTAACTAAGCCTGATACTTCCTAGTAGTCTGTGCTCAAGGCCACCTCACGTGAGGCCTCAACGTCATGTGAGAGACTTTTCAGCTTCGCCTCAATTCTTTCCACACAGTCGGAGCCAAGTGGTAATCTCAGAATCTTTCCTTTCAGTGATCCGGCTTGTCCTTCTCCCGTCACAACCTCGAACACCCTGGCCACACCCTTCAAAGGATCTCCCCGCTGTGTTCCCTGCATGGTGTCAAACTTGCTCAGCGCAACGTCCACTGGCCCCCCAATATAGGGCTCAGACAGTCCGGTTTCGTTCTTGGTAGCTGCTGCGAGGAAGTTCGTCTTGAACGCCCCTGGCTCCACCACCAGCAAAGAGATACCGAACGGTGCAAGCTCTCGCGCAAGTGACTCCGAAAGACCCTCAAGCGCGAACTTGCTGCCGGCATACAAGCCACAGGACGGGAGTCCATCCTGTCCGGCAATGCTGGTGATGTTCACTATCGTCCCACTGCGACGAGCACGCATAGAGGGGAGGGCAGCGCGAATGAGTCTCAGGGGACCGAAAAAGTTCGTCTCGAACTGGAGGTAGGTCTCGTCGTCTCTGCGTTGGCCATTAGATACAAGCCAGATTAGAATTCGCTTCTGCATCTCACCGCATATCCTCCACCGCTCCCAACAGTGAATAGCCCGCATTGTTGACTAAGACATCGATGCCGCCATAGAAGCTCTCTGCTTGCTTGACGGCGTCAGGGATGGTGTTTCCTTTGCTCACATCGAGGTCGATGACCTTTCCACCCTTTGACTCAATTGCCTGGATAGCGTCGGCGGATTTTATTCTGCTGCGCACAGACGCAACGACCTGGTGGCCTGCAGCCAACGCATGGAGGGCCAGGTAGTAGCCGAAGCCTGAGGAGCCACCAGTGATAAACCAGACAAGAGGTGCCATTGTATTGTCGCAAGTCAAGTATCTTTATAGGTTGAAGACTCAGTCGCAGAGCTCAGGTAATTGAGGAATTCAAGGGGCACGCCGAGTTGAGAATCTCGGGCTTCTCGATAGAGCGCGGGGCAATCCGAATAAATTAATAAGAACGCAACCTTGCCTCACGTTGCAAACAAAGAACGTCTGGGCGGCGATAATTACGGTCTGGGCGTAAGTGAAGGGTTCAGCCCGCAGCCACCGAGGACGAGATCGCCAATCATGGGCCCACAGGGTTTGTCTCTGGTGTACGCCGGTCCCAGGCAGGGGTCGGGAAACATGAGGAAGCGGCCCGATTAACCTTGCTGGTGCATTCGGTCACAACCGTACATTACCTCTCGTCTTAGCTACCTTATCTGGTGCATGATCCGGTGTCTTATGATTAATTCGACTAGTTGCAGATATTATAATAACTCTGTCACAATCAACTCCACTTTTAACTCATACTTGTCACACAGCTACCAAGTATTTACCCCTACTTCAAATAATGTATGGAGACAATAGAAGGCGAGTTATCCCCGGCCATCCCGGTCCCACGATCCTCAGAATCCATTTCGCTTCAAGAATGCCAGAGTATCATCCATCAACTGCTGGGCATGGTTATGCAGATGGATGCCATGTCCCGCCTGAGGATAGACCTTGATGTCATGATCTGTGGCATTTGGGAACCGGTCGTACAGCGCATACGGAGCGGACCCACATGAACGCCCGCAGAAGGTCGCATCCTGGTCGCCATTGGCGAGCATCACAGGGCCTTTGTACAAGTTCGGCGTCACCAGATGGTACGCTAGGGAAATAGACAGGCCGAGGGTGTCGAGGTCCCTCAGGTAAAAGTCCACCGGCACGATTTCCGGGTCGAAGTCCCCATAGAACACGGCCGCTTGCCGACCAGCCGGGTTCATCTGCGTCGTGTACTCGGCCGCGTACTTCTTCCACTCGGGCTTCTCGAGCCCATTGGCGGCCACCTGCAATCCGCTCAGGAATGCAGGGTACAGATCCTGGATATCCCAAGTGAAGCCATGGAGCACCAACGCGTCGATGGCGTCAGGAACCTGGTAGGCCAGCGACACCCCTGCAATAGATGCAATGCTAAACCCGATGTAGGCCACCTTGTCATACTTCATGCCGCCAATCTGCCCCGCCTTCAGCAGCTTGATGATATGGTGGACCTGCTCGACGATCAACTGCGTCTGAACTTCGTACAGGGGGTGGGGATGCGACGAGTTGCCGGACCCGATCAGGTCGAAGGCCAGAGTGGGATAGCCCTCGGCGTGCATGCGGCGGGTCCAGGAGTACTTCTCCGGCTGCCACGGCCAGTCCCACATGATCTTGCTGAATGTAGCGCCGTGGACGAGCATTTGGATGGTGTCCTGCTTGTTGGTGGCTTGCGCCGGTGGCGTGCAGTAGATACCCGAGATGTGGTAGGTCGCCGTCCTGAAATCGCGGAAGTCCATGAAGTTATGGAGAACCTCGATGCTGTAGTTGTCGTCTTCGAAGTGACCGTCCGAGTTCTCGGTCACATTGAACGGAATCACCAAGTTGGTGCAGCTGTGGCCGGACTCATGCTGGAAACTGTCCTGTGGGCGAACCTCGGCAGGGTGGGCAACGGATGGCCCAATCAAGGATAACGGGGAAGAGAGGAGGAGGAAAGAGAGAAGGCTCCTCGACATAACGTGCATCTTGTAACGTCTGCCCACTCGGAGACGGTGCACGTAAACCCTCGATAAAGGAATAGAATAACCTGATCGAGAAGTACTTTATCCAAAGCTCCAGACTTGGGTCTTTAAATACCAAGGCCCTCCTTATATACTATGTCGCCTTGAAAACTATCATCACTGGGGCAGAGTACCAATGGGGAAGAATCAAACTCAAACCAGTGTGGCACTCACTTGGTCTCCTTAGGTGCATTTACCTCGTATTGTCCCTTTGATACCTTCTTAGAGGTCTATTAACCGGACGTCAAATCATGGTTCGAGACCCCGCGTACAACGAGAGAAAGGGTAATGTACATATCCAGCGGACCGGGTTCCGGTCAGACACTTGGTTGACTCCTTATCCTAGACTGGATGCACGAACGTCAGCCGGTTCCAGATTGCAATATGCCCCCTTTTTTTTGGTTCGTACCTGCTGCAAATCTAAATTTATCGTTACTGAGAGTATGTGGATATCAACGTTACCTTTGGGTTACGTAGTGTAATGTTTTCCTAGAGAATTGCCGACGAATAGGAAGGTCTGATTCCTTCGCTCAATGCCTCGGAGGTGATTGAAAATTATCTATAAATATCGAAGAAAGACCTAACTACACGTGTAGGCTTTCGGTATAAGGAATTATCTAACGCATTACTCAATATTTTTGATGTTAGAATACTAGAGCTCCACCACAAAAACCAGTAGTGGTTACGCGGTTCGGCCCAGCTCATGGTTTCAACAAACATCGTCGTGACATATTTTTCAGGAATCTGAGTACTCAACATTTAGATCGGAAGATAGATAGCGACGCAGAAAATGAAAGAGCAAAATGAAAAGAAAACGCGCATCACAATCTGTAAGTATTGAGTTCGGTGCTGAAGTCATAAGACTCCCTAATCTGGAAGCAACATCCACCCAGACGAGCTTGGACTTTAGATATACTGCTCATCAATTGCCAGAAAAGTTCTTCTCTCAGTGCGGCAGACCCGCTTGATCTTCGCATTCATCACCTCGTCATTGTGCAAAACCAAATGATGTGGCCGCGTAGGTAGACACATTTAGGTTCCGGAAGCACTTCAATATGGCTGGTGTGCCACCAATGCCGCCGCAGAGTACAAGACGTCAATACTAACCTTTGGCACAGATTGGCGACAGAACATCCATAAGGGCAAATTAACTCCATAATTCTTATTGCAGAAATTTTTCCCTCCTCCATGACTCCAGGTAAAGATCCAGTAATTCGATGCTCAATCCATTGCAGGCACGCAACGAGCGCGAAACGCGTCGCGCTCGCGTGGTATCCAATACTACCCCTCCGCTGGAAAGAACTTGGAATTCTGCCTGAAGGAAGGGTAGAAGATGATGAACGAACTTCAAGTTTGCCTCAGTACACGCCATCGACGATGCGCGCTCAAGCCAAGTCCCGAATGAGACGGGCAGTGGCGTCTCCAACCTCAATTTGCTGGCAAGAATGGGCAGCAGGGGTTTCCAAGCTTGACGGATCGGGTTCTCAATGTGATATATGATATTCTGGAGAGGGCCTTCCGACTGTGACGAGAGGATCTCCACAATAGATTTCGCAGCTGTGTCAATCGGGATCCACGAGAAGGACTGCAAGGGCGTCAGTTTTGCTCATTTCTATATATGCTCATGTTACTCACCCCGTCCAATTCTGGCAAGGCCCCGATAAGCTGGGATGCCTTGAGAATTGCTGGAAAGTGCTCGTTGGAGTTCCAAATCCCCGAGTGCGTGCTCCCGGTCAACTGACCCAGGCGTACGATGCTTGGTTGCAGGAGATCGCGCCGCGTCTTGGCTGCTTCAATTAGGATCCGTTCACATACCCACTTGGCCTGAGCGTAGCCCATATCTGCCGTGGCTGAGGGGTCTAGGATTGGCGCTTCTGGTATTTTTCTCCGACTTGCGCAGCGCGCGCTAATCGCAATGGAGGACGTGAATAGCAATCGGGGAGGAGACGAAAGGCGTTGCTTCCGATGACAGTCTGCGCAAAGGTCGACTAGCCTTCGCACTGTCTGGATCTGGGGCTCGAATGACAAAAGACTCCTTTGGAAGTCCATTGGCCACGCACTATGGATGACGTGGGTTACTGTTCGCACTAGGTGACGATATTCCTTATGTGGTAAGCCCAACTCAGGCTGATGTAGTTGGTTTGACGACAAGAACCTGATTTTTGTCCATGCGGATTCTGAGAGAGTGATCCCACGCGCACTGTTGGCTTGTTGTTGCCGATTCCTGGGGTCCAGTCCTTGATGCGACCGACTGAGACAGATAATCTGTGATACATTCACGTTGCGCAACAGCTGATCCAATAGATGTACCCCAAGATGACCTGTTGCGCCTGTGAGTAGCACAATCCAACCCGCAGAACAGGCAGGAGTGTACTTCGATGCTAGATCAAGCATCTGATTTAATTTCGTGTCCAACGACGCACCATTTGTTTCGTCGCTGCCAGCACCTGCTAATAATCGCTCGGACAGTGTATTGAAGCTCGGATGCTGGTAGACGAAAGAAGGCTGTATTTTTCTGGAGGTCAGTACCGGAAATGAGTCTTTGTTAGACACATGGCTCAGCATACGAGCCAAACGCGTTGCTTCCAGGGAATCCATGCCCAGTTCAAACCAGTCATCCGAATCTGCCCAGTTGGCAACGGGCAACCCCCGGTCCTGCACACAAGTCTGGACCATGACACGCAAGCTGTCGATGATTTGGTCGGGATTATTTTCCAGGGTGAAAGAAAACGAGTCCTGGGTGTTAGAAGTAGTATAGGCTTCTTCAATCTCCTGTGCAAAGAGATCGTATGTCTCACGACGCATGACAGATCCCTTATCCGACCTTGGCAACACCTTTTCTGAGGTTTTGACCAGGATCATGCTCTTGGATGCGATACGCGCATGGCGGTCCAAGGAAATGTTTTCCTGCTGCACTATCTTCCAGATCCGCTCCACGAGAGTTTCCACGCCATCATTCTCAAGAGGTACTTCTGGCTCTATCAGAACTCCAACTTCTTCGCGGTTCTGTCCGAATACGACAGCTGTCTTCACCCCTTCTTGCCTGCTAAGCGTGATCTCAAACCGATTGGGGAGAACTTTCTCTCCGGTGGACAGGACCAAAAGGTCATCATTGCGGCCCAGAATTGCCACTTCAATATGCGCAGATCCTGGTCGCCGTCGCAAAAGGTCTTGGAGTACAAAAGGGCGATCCCAACCAAAAGGATGGCCGACCAACTGGTAGAACGGGACACCATTTTCATCCTTCTCCTCGACTTCCTTGATCTCAAGACCCATGTCGTTACGAATGCGCAGATAATGCCAGTCATAGTCATTCCCAGGCACGAAGATCGGGGCAATGGCCCCGATTTCTGTGGCGCCGTAGTGGTTAAGCAACGTGACTCCATTGGAGACCAGGAGCTCACCAATGGCGGGCTTAATTGCACCGCCTCCTACGGCCACGAAGTCCAATCCTATCAATGCTCGCATCAGATTTGAATTGTTCTTGGCTTCTTCGAGAATGCTTGGGACTGTCATTAAAGAGCAGCTCGCAGACTCCTCAATCAATTCGGCTATTGAGCTGGCGGACGGAATGACGGAGGCTGACGGCAAGCAACATGTGTTCCCAGTTGCCAAGCTGATACATGGCCCAAGTAAGCCAAAGCCCTTGCCATAATCAAGGTCAGTACAACATGCGCATGCAAAAAAGCGAGCAAATACATACATGGTACATCGGAAGTGTGGATACGCTCCGTTTGCCGAGACATTGATTTGGCTCCAGGCGATGGCATGCTGCATATCCCAGCAAGTATCGATGTGCTAAGAAAATAGGCTTCGGAACTCCTGTCGTGCCAGACGAGTGAAGTATAATTGCCGTCTCTTTATCTGAGGGTATTCGACGTTCCAGGACCTCTGAAGACACTTCTGACGCGAGCCGGCACAGCTGTTGGTACGGAGAGCATTGTACCAAGTGCAAATCCTTTTGCTGCTCCCATGGGAGGACTTCGAATGCCTTATCTACTGTCCCTTGGCTTCTCTGTGATACAATGATAGCGCAGGCCGATGTTGATTCCAGGAGGTGTGAGATGGCCACTGGGTTAAGACGGATGGAGAGCACGAGAACCTATAATGTCAGCATCGACGGCATTGAACTGAGCGGGAGTCACTCACAGGAATATTCAAGTACAATAAAGCCGCAAGATGGACGAATAGATTAATATCGCTCTCAAGAAATAATGCAACTGGTCGTCGGGTTTCGGATTCATCCCCGCCTGTAGCTTTGGGTGGCCCTCCTGGCAAACGCTTACGGATAAGATGTGCGCAGGTTGTGGCTGCGAGCTTAAGCTCACTGAAGGTGACAGGAGTCAGGTTGACATACTTTCCTCCCTGCCGTACTTCTTGCAAGGCAAACACATGGTCTGGGTTGTGATCCGCGTCGAAATCGATTAGATCCGGAAGACTTTGGATCGCAGATAAATCTGTGACCGGGTCCCTGGAGACTTGCAAAAAAGGACGCAAGAATTCTGAATCTAATTTATCTATTGCCATGGTGTAGTAGACTTAGCTCGACTGCAAAGATGTGCCTGATATCGTCCCGGATGTGATGGGGGACTGTGTGAGTTATGTGCTGCGGGTATTAGTCGTGCCCTGGCAAACTGCGGCCCGAACTTGAGACCCCGGAACATCAGACCTGGCACCGCGTACGTAGATTTATTGCCTATACACCGGGCTCTACTAAAAGACTTGGCTCATAAGGCCGTTTTACCATTATCAGGTGTTGGTTGTGAGGGGTCCATGTCTATGGGCAGACAAAGTACGCCGGTCCCTAACATCTCAACGGTGGAACCTGTTGCAGAAACCTCCATCTTGGAGGGGTATTTCCATAAAGCTTGTGCGGCAAGGTGATGAGCAGTGTATTCTAAATTTATTTTCTTACTGTGTTTGAGACAAGCACCCGGTTGTTTTTTCCGAGTCGGAAGACTACACTCGCAGGTACCTGTGAATACAGACGTTTTCATGGATCCCAAACGAATTATATTCTTTGGGGGACAGGGGAGTCGGTCACTATCATCGTCGACGCCGGTTTCATGGACAGACGCGCAGAACGAGTCTCCTGCAGTTTCCCTTTTACTGTCAACTTGTCACGCCGCGTTTCTACGAGAGGCTATATGGACTCAATCACGGGAGCCTACCCCAGCATGGGCGAGCTTTGATGTCCCAACCAGTCCCGAGCTCTTATTGACCGTGCCTCCTCCACATTCCGATAACCCAATCTTACAGGGGGTGTGTCTCTGCGTGAACCAATTGGTTGGATATTTTCAGAATGACACCATGCTCGAAAGACTCAAGCAAGCCATACCTACTGGATTCTGCTCTGGAATGCTTCCCACAATGGTCTTAGCGTGCAGCCACACCGTGGAAGAATATATTAGACTCAGTGGAGAAGCGGTTCGTCTTGCATATTGGATAGGGTACCGCGCTGCGGAGTTGAGCCAGCAGATTTCAAGAGAGGACTGGCAACCCCAGCCCTGGGCTTTATCTGTATCTGGAATGGACAAGGAGACAATAGGGAGAGACGTGCAGAGTTTCAATCGCACCGTTCCCGAATTGTCCCAGATCCGGGTGGCATCGAGATTTGGCAAAACTTCTTTCAGTCTTGTCGGCCCAGGCCATGCATTGGAGGCATTTCGATCCCAACATGTTTCTACATCTTCCACTGCGGAGCCGGTGCATGTTTATGCCTTGTACCATGGAGGGGACAAGGGAATGGATGCACTAAAGAAGGTGCTTGAAGATGTTAAGCGGAGAGATATTTCGTTTCCACCATCAACAGCCATGAAAAGGCCGATCTGGTCTTGCCAAGGCGCATCTTTGGTAGATGCAGCAATCCTTGCATCCACCTCGCCTCTGGAATATACCCTTCGCCTCATCATGGTTGACACCGCCGATCTTTACAGCACCTGGCTCTCGGCTGTCAATCATATAACCTCTTCAGATAAAGACTGGGAGATAGTGACTGTGGGGCCTGGGTCAAACGCCTTGCTCGCATCGGTATGCAGGGATGTATCTCGACCTACAAGAACAGGCTGGGTAGACATCCCAGGAGCTATTCAAGGCACCAATATATCTCAAGTTGACGGGTTTGCTATTGTTGGAATGTCCGTTAATTTCCCCCTGGGAGCTGGCAAAGATGCGTTCTGGAAATTGATAGAGGATGGCTTAAATGCAGTGCAAGAAGTATGTTCCCCCTACTCCATTCGGGTGTCCGAGGCCGGCTAACTGACGATGTCGATAGATACCAGGCACCAGGTTTCAAGTGCACGACTACAAAAGCGAAAAGCCCAATTGTAGACCACCCCGTGAGATGAAAGCAAGCCATGGCAACTTTCTCAGCGACCCGTTTCAGTTTGATCATGAGTATTTCGGCATTTCGCCTCGAGAGGCTAAGTCAATGGACCCACAACAGAAACTCCTCCTCCAGGGGGCAGTCCATGCAATGGATGATGCAGGATATGTGCCCAATGGAGCACCTTCCTTCAATCCTGAGACCATGGGGTGCTATATTGGGGTTGCCACTGACGACTATGTGCAAAATTTAAGCCGACATATTGATGTGTATTATTCGACAGGTACGGTTCCTTTTCTGGTAGGCAACGATAATGTTACTAATAGAGCTAGGGACCCTGCGCGCCTTCCTGAGCGGGAAGATATCCTACACGTATGGCTGGAGCGGACCATCCATTGTTATTGATACGGCCTGCTCTTCTTCGCTAGTGTCTGTGGTGATGGCCTGTCGGGCTCTAGCCCAAGGTGATTGCACTACCGCATTGGCCGGTGGCGTGAACGCCATTACCAGTCCAGATGTAAGCCACAGTGATTTTTGTTCAAAAGACAGGAGGTACTGATCATATAGATGTATCTTGGTCTTTCACGAGCCCACTTCTTGAGCCCGACTGGCCAGTGCAAGCCCTTTGATGTGTCAGCCGATGGGTACTGCCGCGCCGAAGGGTGTGGGTTATTCGTGATCAAGCGGCTTTCAGACGCAGTCCGTGAAAGTGATCGAATCTACGGAGTCATCAAACAAGCGGAGATAAATCAGAGCGGCAACTCCTCGTCCATCACTCACCCTCATGGTTTCACCCAGAAGCAGCTTTTCCAGAGACTCCTTTCTCGCGGGAAGATTGATGCAAAGTCAATAAGTGTAATTGAAGCTCATGGGACGGGAACCCAGGTATAACTTTCATTTCATTTCCCAATTTGTTCGAAAGATTGATGATGCTGACCTCTGAGAAGGCCGGGGATGCAGTCGAGACCTCCAGCATTGTATCAACTTTTGGTGGTTCTCTCAGCCCAGTCTACTTAACCTCAGTCAAGGGCAACATTGGCCACGCCGAGGCAGCATCGGGAACTGCGGGTTTAGCAAAGCTGCTAATGATGCTGAAGTATGCGAAAATCCCACCGCAGGTCGGATTCAACACACTGAACCCGAAGTTACAGGCTCTGGCTGCTCACAACATCCGAATTCCTACTACAGTTTGCCAGTGGAATCGCATTGGGCCTAACCTGCCGCGGCGTGCCTTGCTGAATAATTTTGGTGCAGCAGGTTCAAACGCTGCGTTAATCATTGAGGAATACCGCATAACATCACGCCGCAAGGATCAAAACTGTTCCCATAGAGCAGCATATAATCTGATTTTGTCTGCAAGAAATGCCCATGCGCTCCACGAGCTTATTGATCGGTACTCCGAGCTTCTTCGGGGCAATGAGATTGCTATTCAAAACATTTGCTACACGGCGACAGCTCGGCGGCAAAAACATCGACACGTTCTCTCAATTATCGGAGAAACGATAGCAGACCTTGCCGACCAGCTTCAACGGCATAGAACGCTTGACAGACCCTTGGTCAACTATGGAGAAAAGCGCCCGATTGTTTTTGTCTTCTCTGGACAAGGCAGCTTTTATTCAGGAATGGGCCAGCAGCTCATGCTTACTGCACCAGCCTTTAAGGATAAGGTTCAGGAATGCGACTGCGTGCTTCAGCGAAATGGGATTGTAGATGTCATACCAAGCAAGGTACTGGACGGCTCCTTCAGCCCCGCCTCTGCCACGGATTGGGTGCTGTGGTCACAGGTCGCATGTTTTGTGCTGGAATACGCCCTCGCATCCCTATGGATATCATGGAATATCCAACCTGATGTTGTTATTGGCCATAGGTAAGCAAACGTTCTGGGATTCATACGTCATTTCCAGAAAGATCTAACAATTCGCCAGCCTTGGAGAATACGCAGCTATGGTCATTAGCGGAGCCTTGTCGCTGCAAGATGCTTTATTGCTCGTTATGCGACGTGCACAACTGATGGCATCGATGTGTCAAGTTGGGGAGTCTACTATGCTTGCGTGCAATACGTCGGCCTTATCTATTGAACACCTCATTGCAGACTCGGAACTGGCTCAACTCACAGTTGCATGCGATAATAGTGTAACGGATTCCGTTGTCTCGGGACCGGTCGATCAAATAGACCAATTGGCCCGGCTGATCAAAGAGAAAGGAATTCGCTGTAAGCGACTTGATGTCCCTCTCGGCTTTCATTCATCTGCGCTGGATACAATGCTGCCAGAGTTAGAGGCCAGATGCGAAGGCCTCTGTTTCTCCACTCCAAGGATTCCTTTGGGGTCTTGTTTCCATGGGCGCCTTATCGAAGAAGGCGATCTTAAACCCAGCTACCCCGTTCAGCAAACAAGAGAAAAAGTGCGTTTCGCAGAGCTTATCGATTCTCTCTTCCAACGAGATGAAATCCGGACCGCCACTTTTATCGAAGTTGGCCCCAGTCCGATTACATTGCCCATGGTCCGAACCAGATTCACCGGACAGGGCGCCATTTTCCTGCCTTCCATTGCAAAGGGCCAAGATCCCTGGATCAGCCTAAGCCATGCCCTGCAGCAACTGAGCCTGCGGTCTGATTCGATTCAATGGCGCAGTGTTTTCGATGGCACGGACGCGCTTATTGTGGATCTTCCAGACTACCCATTCCAAACGCATTCTCTGTGCGTCCCATTCAAGGAACCCGACTTCAAGGAAAGAGTGTCCCTCGCCGCTCAAACACGAACACCGCCTAGTTTTCATTTATTGCAAGATGTGGCGAGTTCAGACTTCGAGAAAGGAATGTCGACGTTCAGTACGAGTCTAGATGCCCTGTCCAAGTACATTGAAGGCCATTCGGTCGACGGCTTTCCGCTATGTCCGGCCTCAGTATACCATGAAATGGTTCTGGAAGCCATGCACTATGAGGCTGGATCTGCTCAGGATCAGGTGGCTTTGGTCAGTGATATCACTTTTGGACATCCCCTAGTATATTCGCCAGAGAGAAAGTCTTCCACTGTCCTTTTGACATTGGAGAAAACGGTCGCTCAGTCTCAAAGTAATGGAGGAAGATTCAACTTTGTGTCGGCTACAGCATCCAATTGTGATTCTGAAACGGTCCTCTGTTCCGGCCAAACAGCATGGATGTCCTCATCGGACGCGAAATCATACCTTGCGCGGAAGGCAGCATACGCCAAAAGGCAGACGAAGCTTTTGCAAAGAAACCAGAGCCAGACAAATATCCTGCACCGCAATGTCATTTACAACACTATATTTCCTCGGGTAGTCGCCTACTCGGAGCCATATCAATCCATCAAGGAACTGAACGTCTCTGAGGCCGATCTGGATGGTTACGGCACGTTTGAGGTACCAGCGAGCACTCTCATTGGAGGTATTGTGTCTCCGGTTTTCATGGACACCATGTTACATGCGGCCGGGTTCGTTGCCAACAGCCAAGCCAAACCAACCGATGCCTTTATTTGCAGTAAGATCGAGTCCACGGTTGTGCTATATACCACCATCAACCCGCATGACACTTTTCATATCTACTGCAGCCTGTTGGAATGCGGGGATGGGGAACGTATCGGTGAGGCTATTGCAACGACGCTCGACGGAACAGCTGTTGCTAGCATTGAGGGCATGCACTTTAAGCGCCTGAATCTCAGGTCGTTCGCTAGTCACCTGTCCCGGCAGACCGATCAGAGTTCCACCGGCGATACGCGGCGGCCAGCCGTACCTCGTACCAAGGCGTCGACGAAGGCCACGCGCCCTTCAGTGCGTAGCGTCTTGGATCCAATGACTACGGTGGTCAGCCTGATTTCCAGGCTATGTGAACAGCCGAGGGAGTCGATTATTCCTGCCAAGCGATTGGCTGACTTGGGGATTGACTCGCTCATGCAAATAGAGCTCTCCCACTCTCTCAAGGGTCAGTTTCGTCACCTGGATACTGACGGCTTGATGACATTGGAAACAGTCCAGGAGATCCAAAACTATATAGTCGACATGTGTGGTGACCCATCCGGAGTGTCCGAAGAATCCAGCAAGAGCAGCTCCGACAACGGCGACTATACTTCCCCGATCACCGCGTCACGCAGTCCCACCCCCTACACAGAGGTACCCGCCACTCCGAACGATGTCACCGATCTCCTCATGCAGTTGGTGGCGGAGACTTGTGGCTTCAACCTTTCGGATGTCCGTCAAGACATGGCACTTGAATCGCTTGGAATGGATTCTTTAATGGCGATTGAATTCCAAGAAGGCTTGCAAAAGGAATTTGGCAAGGCACTGGCGCAGAAAATGTTATCTCCCGCGTTGACTATCAGCGAGCTTGCGGTAAAGCTCGCAGCAGAAATCAGTTCACCCAGCACCGAAGGTTCTGCAGATCTGATTGAGAAAGCCGCAAGCAAAACACGCTCACCCGAGCCGGTAGAAGAGCATTTTATCGTGCATTTGCAGACAGGGCCAGACAACCATCCTCCGCTGATCCTGTTTCATGACGGCAGTGGTCTGATCGAAAAGTACAAAAATCTTCCCAGGTTGGGGTGCAACGTGTTTGGCGTCCGCAACCCGGAGTTCACAGCTCGGCCGCATTGGGCAAGGGACCTGAAAGATATGGCCAGTCGGTATGCTGCTTCGATTCCATCGGTAGTCAAAGCAGAGCAGGTGGTTCTCGGCGGTATGTTTCCGTCGCTTTACAAAACTGGCCATATGTGAAAAACGTACTAATGTGGACAGGCTGGTCTTTCGGCGGCGTACTCGCCCATGAAGTTGCGCAGCAGATAGACAAAATGGGGTATACTACAGTAGCCGTTATTCTCATTGATTCTCCGTGTCCGTTGAATCATAAGCCCCTGCCCCGAGAGGTTGTCGATTACATTCTGGGTCCCAAACCACTGCCCCACTCTACATTGAACACTATATCCGTTCAATTTCAAAGCCACGCACAGTTTCTCGCAGATTACAGAATGGAACAATCCATTCCACCCGCAAGAAAGTACGTGATGCTGCACAGTGAGCAGGTCCTCGACACGACCCGTCTTTGCGGTGTCTCGTACCCATGGCTTGAAAGTCGACAGGATAGGGCTTTGGCGCTTCGCCAATGGGAGGCCCTCCTCTGCCGTTCTCTGGCTGTCTATGAGGTACCGGGAAATCACTTTGAACCATTTGACGATAAATATGTAAGAAACCCATTCCTGTCATAGGGTACATGTCGAAAGCTAAAACCGGAACTTAGGTCAGGATTGTCTCAGAGAAGTTACAAGTTGCGTATGAGAAGGTGACGAGGAGTTGTGTTTGAAATTGGATACTGAGAGAGAATCACCGTGTGCATAGTGACAGGCTCCAGATAAACGCCATGTCTCTTTCGTTGTTTTCTGAATTTACGTGATTAAACTCCATCACAGCACTTTTTCCAGTCAAATACCAGTAGTGTTGCACCTACCCTTGTAAACCAATGCCTCCAAGCCCTATTAATTGCCTATTCATCAGATAATATCCAAGTAAATCCTCAATACGGACTCGGGCACCTATAGCAAGCCAAATCCAAGCCGGTCATAGGACCGGCGTACACCAGCACACCCGCCCCAGCGTCGGAGCCTTCTTATCGACATTCCCTTCCACCAGCACCCTCAACTACAGACAAGCCTTATTTATGAGCACCACATCTGCCGCAAAATCCAATTCAACAGACGCAGGCTAACTCATAACTCAAATCTGTTCTGGCTTTCCAAACATACAATGGCTCACTCCATCCTCCCTCACACTCATGAGAACGGCTTCCGCCAACCAGCAGAAGATCCTCACTGGACGCTCCCAGAGGTAGATACAGGGTCACAACGCCCAAAGTTCTATCAAAAGCGGAACTAACAGGAAGAAATTGGTCCACAGTACCCCACAGACGAGACAGGCGATGCCGCCGGACCGCAGTACGAGGTCCCGCCCTCAGTCGAAATCCTCACGTCTACCAGCCATAATGGTCTGGGGTTCAATGTCCTTCGCGTGTGGCCGACGCTTCATGATGGCACCGCCTCGCCGCACGGGGTACCTGCTTGGTGGAACCCGCCGGATAAGGTCGATGTCTTGATTTGTGGAGGTACGTTTGGCAAGGCCGGGCTCGTATGTGGTCAGGCTAACAGGCGTAGCTGGACCCAGTGGACTGGAAGTCGCGTTGAGCTGTCTTCGACAGGGTCTTTCATTTCGGATTATCGGTTTGTTTATCAACTCTTTCTTTCTTTCCTTTATCGCCATCTTTCGGAGTCCTGCATCTACAGAAACTAACCAACACCAAGACAAGAACACCTCTCCTCTGACAGCTGGCCGTGCCGACGGCGTCCAACCCCGCTTCCTCGAGACCCTGTCAACATGGGGCCTCGCCACGGAAGTGCACGAAGAAGGTCCCCTGATCGAACGCACCGCCATCTATCACAATGGCCAGCTCCTCCACCACGGCCGCTCGCACCAGTCTGAGTCCCGCTACCGCGGCCTGCACATCATCACGCAGGGCCAGATTGAGCGGATCTTTGTGCGTGATCTCCTGCGGCATAAGGTGCTCGTAGAGCGCGCCACTACGCTGAAGGAGTACACTGTGGATGACCCCTCTCCTTATCCAATTCACTGCATGTTAGCGGATGAAGAAGGGAGGGAGACGGAGGTGCAGGCGAAGTTCCTGATCGGGAGCGATGGGGCATCGAGTGCAATTCGGCAGAAGCTGCAGATTCCGTTCGATGGCATCAGTACGGATATCTACTGGGGTATCATGGACTGTGTGTTTGAGACGGATTATCCGCATGCGTGGATCTTTGGGTCGGTCATCAGTACGGAGCATGGCGGGTGTGTGATTATCCCGAGAGAGAATGGGTATATTCGGTAAGTGGTCCATGCCCTCTCCCGCTGCATGTCCCCTCGCGTAGGATGTACGAGCACTGACGGGTCTTGCGGGAAGGCTGTATACCCAGTTGGACATTTCTCAAACGGGATCCCTGGCGGCCTCCCGACAAGCAAGCGACCCCTCCTTCGCGGAGTCCGGTGGCCAGGTGGACGTTCACTCGATCACTCCCGAAGAAGTCCTAGAGCAGGCGAATCGCATCTTCGCTCCGTATAAACTGTCCTTTGCGGCGCCGCTAAGTTGGTTTGCTGTGTGGAAGAGTACGTCCCTCCTCTCGGCTTACTTGGAAACGCAAGAGACGGTAGCCCTAACACCCGCCCAGTCAGCGAGCGCGTCGCTCGATCTTTCTCCTCCGATGACCAACGCATCCATTTAGTCGGAGATGCTGCGTGCGTTTTATCTTCCTCATACAACGCCAACCGCTCCCTAACATTGGTGATAATGAAATAGACACGTCCACAGCGTCATGGGCGCCTTCGGCCTCAACGCCTCCATCCTGGACGCCGCCAACATCGGTTGGAAACTGGGCCTCTGCGCTAAAGGCAAGGCCGACCCCAGCAAGCTCCTCCCCACCTACGACCGCGAGCGCCGTCTCCACGCCGCCAACATCATCGAAATCTCCGGCAAGTATCTGCGCCTTGTCTGCAGCTCGCAAGTCCCAACCGCACGTCTGCACTACCTCGGTGCAGACCTGGGTATCGAGGAATTAGAGACACATAAGGCGAATGGGGTGAATAGGGTGCATGATGCCGTGCGTAAACCGCCTGCGTCGTCCAGCGAGGCCATCTCAATCGAGTCGGATCCTAAGGACCAGCAGAATGGCACCGCAGCGTTTACGCGTGACGAGGCGAAGGCTTTCCTGTTCGATTTTTTCACACGTCATGGTCAGTTTCTTCTCGGGGTGGATGCGGCGTACGGCATCAGCTGCTTGAATCCTTGCATGAACCTCACCAATGACGTGGATGGGGCTCAGCGGGCCCCGCCAGTGAAGGTGAAGAATGGGATGCGGGCGCCGAATCCCCGCCTGTGTATTGATGATAGCCACATGGGGTATCTGTATGACAAACTACCTGGGGATGGTCGATTTCATCTGGTCGTATTTGGGTCGAATCTTCTCGGCCCGGTCCGGCAGCATCTGAAGATCTTTTCAGAAGAAATATCGTCGGGGAAGGCTACTAGTGAGTTTTACGCGCGGTTTGGCGGTCCAGATACGTTCAACATCGTCCTCGTAGCCAAGGGCATGCCGTTTGAGATTAAGGAGAGTTTATCAGTTGATGAGGATCTGGCCGCACTGCGGGATAAGGCCATTGTGTTGGCGGATGACCGCGCGCCTGACGAGGACGCGCATAGTACCTGGGGTGTCAACCATCGCACAGGAGCGGTTGTAGTAATTCGACCGGATCTGTGGGTTGGGATCAGTGCTACACCGGGCGACGCTGAGAAATTGGGATCTTACTTCTCGACATTTTTACTAGCATAGAGATGGTCTACCTACAACTCGTCTACGTCGAATAGAATCTGCTCTTATTGAAAACCGGAGTAAAGGACAGAGGGCCACATTGTACGCGGGTCCAAAGAACAGCGTCCGCCCTGCCCTAGTAAGGTATATATAGAACATTCACCAACCGCCAAGCTTATCTCGCAGTAAGAACCCTTTATCAACCAATCCCAGCAGCCAGAGACCCCTAGGACAGCACGATGCCTACCCTCAGCGACGTTCACCAGCTCCTCGAGCTTGTTGACCTCACCCGCGATAGCGTTCAGCGCATTATTGGAGAGTGGGCGAAGCTTCCTGCCTCTTCCTCCCGCAAACAGGGTGGGCCGGCAGATGAAAGCGAAGCAAGCCTACCCAGCCGCGAGCTCTTCGAAGCGCAACGCACCCTCATCGCCGCGTCGGGAAAATTCGTTGAGTTAGTCTCGTCCCCCAGCAGCCGACTTCTAGAAGTCTCATCGCAGTATAATGAGGCGAGATGCTTGCACATTGCAGCCGTACTTCGAATTCCGGATATCTTGGAGGAGAACGGCGACAAGGGCGTGTCGATGGAGCGCATCGCCATGAGCGTGGGGATCGAGACGAGGAAGCTCGGTATGTTCTTGATTTGCGGAAAATGGCCGGGGATGTGAATGCGGTTGCTCATGGTGGCCCCGTTCAATTACAGGTCGTATCATGCGCTGTCTCTGCTCAATTCACATCTTCCAGGAGGTGGAGGATGGGGTCTTTCGAAATAATGCCATCTCGGCCGGTCTGGCCCATAATGAGCCTTTACGAGCTTATATTGCTATGTTGTATGTGCTTCACCATGCAGAAGGTTGCACTGACGATGCTAATTTCCCTGAACAGTGGGTGGGATCTTTATAGCGCCTCGGACGCTCTTCCCCACGCTCTTCTGGACCCCGAGATAGGGTCTTCGTACTCGGTCAAAGAAACAGCCTGGCAAAAGGCCATTGGAACAACCAAGGAGCGGTGGAACTGGCTTGAAGAGGGCACGACGGCCGCAGAGCTCCATAACGGCGGATCTGGGGCCTACCCTGGGCCTTTTGGGCCAGACGTTACGGCCATCCTCCAGGGCGAAAATACAGGGGAGTCCATCCGTCGACCCGAGCTCGATATATTCGGTCTCGCTATGCTTGGTGGTGGGCGCGTATTTGGGGTTGCGCATTTATTTGGTATGCCACAATACACCGTTTCAGGCACAGAGCCGAGACATATATTGACTGTCAGAGCAGACTTCCCCTGGGCGTCACTAGGCAAAGCACAGGTTGTCGATGTTGGCGGCGGAGTTGGTATGCCTTCACATTCTCCTTCTCCCAAATGCTATTAAAAACAGACCTAAACCAAACGCCAGGTGGATTCTGCCTTCAGCTGTCCAAGATTTACCCGGACCTCAACTTCATCGTGCAGGACCGCGCGCCTGCGCTCGCTCAAGCCCAGCGCGAGATCTGGCCGCAGGAAAACCCACAAGCCCTCAGCAACGGCCGGGTCAAATTTCTCGAGCATAACTTCTTCAATCCCAATCCAGTGATTGGGGCCGATATCTACTGGCTTCGGTATATCTTGTAAGTCTCCACGGTCTGGATATCCCTATAGCCTGTCCACAATCCTGGTACTGAAGAGATGTGTCTAGGCACGATTGGTCGGATGACTACTGCATCCAGATTCTCTCGGCTATCAAAGAAGCTATGACGCGCGACTCCCGGATCCTCATCTGCGACCAGGTCATGAATACTACGGCTGGGTTTGCGGGGCGGATTGCATCGGCGCCGGAGCCCCTCCCGGCCAACTATGGATATTTCACCCGGTACAGTCATCAGAGGGACATTGCCATGATGAGCATTATCAATGGCATTGAGAGAACTCCAGCTGAATTCCAGAATATTATCGAGCGGTCGGGGCTGGTGATGACTCGGATTTATGATTGTCGAAGCCAGGTATCGTTGGTGGAGTGTAGTTTGCCCGACGGGGCAGAGAACGGACTGAATAGGTCTCATTAGCTATGGCCTTTCGTTGACCAATTGTTATCTGTCGTCGTCAGTGTTAGTTCTTGAGTTTTTGCAGGTATTGTGGACCTTCGAGCTTGCGCTCCTATTAAGCCTCTCGTTCTGAACAAATATTCGTAAGGTGTAGTTGATCAGTCAGTCACTGTTTTCGACCACTAGTAATCTATCTATCTCTTGATTGATTTGTTTAATTCGCTATGGCACGCTGTTAATGGAACGGTTCTCCGTCCCAGTGAAATGGTTATTCTATAAGTTAGCGGCGACTGGCAAGTCGAACAAGGCTTGTCGCCTCCTCGTTATAGGCCCCTGTCATTTCTATATTTCCTATCTAACACCCGTGCGAACTGGTCTCGTCTTGGTAGAACCAGATATGCGCATAGCCTTTGTGTTTCGACGCACTCTTTTAGAAGACGAGTTCCAAAATTCATCTTTGGCTACGTGAATAACCCGATCGGTATGATAACCAAAAGCTCCCAGCGACCTGGTCCCAGACTTTAGTGCATATCTTAACACCTGAGAGACATAATCCCATCTTATATCTAGTCTCCTGACATGGATGGCTGAGCGACTTTAGATATGGTGTAGCTCAGGAATCTTATAAAGATGCATGACGGGTTGCTGTTCCCCGTTATAAGACTGGTTGCACAATCAAGTGTGCGGAAGGTTGCTGGATGTGATTAGTGGTACCAAAGTCTCCACTCGTACGCAAGGACTTGCCAGTATGCTCTGTAACATGGCCCTCCATGTGAACAATATCTGACTCCTATCGCATCATGGCATCTCCATGCCGTAGATCTGCCACGCATGACGGGAAAACAAGAGGTAAAACTTCTTACTTCGGCGAGACTTCCTCACACCACCCCTGATAAGTAAAATGTCCGGGCCGTCTTCAACAGCCCAAACAGATAATAGAACCCCGCAGCATCGCCAATCACAGATTATCCACCCAAGGCCCAGGAAGCCGTTTGGGTGGCTGGCCCAGGCAGCCGTCCCGTCCCGGTCGATCGTATTTCAAAGGGGTTGGATTGCAGGCAGAAGGTTATCATGCGGCGCGGCGCCACCTTCACTTACTCCTATTTCTCAATATCGGCACGGGATGGCTGTTGACACATGGCCTTTTCTCTGCATGAAACATGCCAAGTAACGGGGTGGATTGCCAAGAACACGCAAAGGAAACCCTCACCCGAAGGGGTATTCTTGCATCGGAGTTGACCGATACAATGGAATGCGGCGTGCGGTGGAATCGAACCGAACGACCGTCTATTCCACGGTCTTCATTGGAAGCCGAGGTTGATATGAATACGAGGATCGACAAACTTCGCCCCCCGAACCCTGGTGTGTAGATCAGTCTGCAGTCAACACGAGCTCCGGCGGAGTACCCCCGAGTACTACTCTGCACACCTGTGTCTAGCCAATACGCATTTCGGTAGATCAGAAAAAGGCACGGCAAAGACTACATGCATCCGCTCAACACGGCTGCTTCCGCATGTCATTCTCAGACTACTTTGTCAGCGCCATAGACATCAATTGATTCGGTGGTCGTCGCGGCAGGATTGGCGGATTGGGGATGATGAGGCTCCAGCTCGCAGAACCTGAGATAAAATTTGACGATAAGCCTCCCCGCTAGTACCGGGGGTAGACCCTTAAACCCCTGCTTACTAAATGTTTACCCCACCCCGTAGTAGAACCCTAAAGCTTGCTCATGGTCCAAATGAGCCTTGAGGTTGCGATATACACTGGTCGACATCCTGTTCTCGTATATGCAGGAGGTAACGCTTAGCCCGAATACGATGTTGCAGTTGGCTGATCTTTCCCCGAGAGGACACGGGTCTAGGCACTCTTGTATCTAGCCCTAAAATCTCTGCCTCTAGATGCTGCAAGTCTGAAAATTCCATTCTTAGTAACCGGGAACGCTTTTTAGTATCAGGCTTGAGTTTAATTCTGCATAGAAATAAGCCTCGTTTAAGTTTGATCTGTCAGACGCTCGCCATTTAAAAGTTGGTGCGCTTTGACTCTTGGTCTTCTTCTTCTCTACTTACCTGCCTCGTCTTTGGTGATTACCTTTCCATAAAAATGCCCCGAGCCGCTCGTAAATGGACGCCAGACGAAGACAACCTGCTATCCCGAGAGGTCCATACTCAATGTAAGCAGAATTCAACCGGTCTGGCCTTTCATTTACTGACGGGATTTCATTGTCTATAGTAGCCGAGGGGAAAGTAAAAGACTGGAGGGTGATTGCGGACAAGATTTCAGGTCGCACGAACAAAGACTGCCGGAAACGGTGGCACAATGCCCTGTCGGGGGTCTTTAATAAAGGCTATTGGACCGAAGAGGAGGACATACTGTTGACTCGAGCAGTACAGACGCATGGAGAAACGTAAGCCCTGCAGCCCTTGTGCTCATTCGTTATTATGCAGGGGCAAACCTTTATGCCGTGAAGGATATCTGCTCACGTAAAATGCAGATGGACGGCAGTGGCGGAGATCGTGACAAAGCGCAGCGCAGATCGTACGTGCTATCTCTGTCTTCTGTGTGATCAAGCAGCCTCCTTACCTGGATCAACCACCACCGTGAGAGAGTTACTTACTCAAAGTTGTGGCAGAGTGTGCCAAGAGATGGAAGCAATTCCTGGATCCACAGCTGGACCGTAGCGAATGGACGGAGGAGGAGGTACGTTTGGCTTCTTCTTGGGGGCCAGGAATCGGACTCTCACTAAAACAGCGGACAGAACGGTCGCCTAGTGGAAGTTGCGGCCGTGAAAGGAAGAAGGTGGAAGGAAATCCAGATGGAGCATTTTCCTTCCCGATCCCGTAACTCCATCAAAAATCAGTGAGTCGTCCTGTACCAAGGAAGAGGCATTGAAACCGACTAACGGGCCATGGCCAACAACAGATACACCATCCTCAGCAGACGAGAGAGCAAGTTAAGAAACAGCAGAAGCAAGAAAGTCAGACAACACCAGGACCACACAGCAGCCAAGGAAACTGCACATCCGACCGACTCATCACCAGGTGACGAGAACGAAGAAATGGACTGCATGGACGACGAGAGCAGCTATGAGGAGGAAGAGGAGGCAGGCTCAGACGAAGAAAGCAGCCGATGGGGTCCACGCAACTCCCCAGGGGACCAGAGCGTCCCCAATTCTAATTCCACGCTCGCGACTCCAGATGAGATTTCTGCGTATGCAGGGTTAGATGCGCCGCCATGGGACAACTTTTCAGCCGGGGTCTCTGGCCACGCGTGGGACCCAACGATTCCCTCGGTCGGGGACACCGAGTATCCAGGACACTACTTCAACGGCACCCTGCCCGACCTAACCACTGTCTTCCCCGATGTTCACCAGAGTTTTGGCTGTAACGGGTCTGAGGTTGCCAAGGATGGGGTCTATCCCGGTCTTCTTTACCCAGCGCACACCGACATGTCTAGATTCTTGGACCCGGGGGGTCTGGAATTGGCAGAAGTCGGGTCGCACCAACCAGCTATCATGCCTCTCCAGGGCACCGACATGGCGCGTCGGAATTCTCAAAGTAGCAAGGTCATCCTCACCGTCGAGGAAGCAGACCATAGTACGGTCGAGTCCTTGATGCAGATCGCATTTCTCAGTAAATCTCGGTTTCATTTGGCGCGGGAATGAGGCTATAGAGATATAGATGAAGCAAACGCATTCTTGGCATGTTCCTAAAATTGCCATACCTTTCTACTTTTATTGACACGCTACTTTATTACTGTGAAACTATACAGATTGTCTCTCATGTGTTATGTCACCAGGGTAAGTGGAGCAGATGCAGATCCTCGTCAGGTTCATGCTGAAAATCCCATGCTGAAAGACCTAGCCAGGATCAGGTTATTTAACCAACTATGGGATTAAAACTCGAGTTAACAACCTTGATCATGTGAAATCCACACCGTGACTACCTCCCGTCATTCGAGCTATATTTCGCTGTAACCTCGACACCCAAAGTAGAATAGATGCCCAAGCCATCAGCAAGAAACAAGTAACCACTGCGCGCCATTATGTGCAACAGTGGCACACACCACTGCCAAGTCCTTCCAACCACCTCGGTTAAACCGCTTCATTTACTCCTCTCATAAGTCCAAGCCACCAGGATCATCTGCATTGCAACCCTCCAGGACGCGTCGCCAAACCTTCCTAAGACTCTTCTGTTGCGCATACACTTCCTCTGCCGATCTCACCTTCCCATCCAGCGGAGGGGAGCATCCTGATGAATTGTCGATCTGAGAGGTTGTATTTTACCACTAAGGACAGGCCGATTCAGCGTCTACCTACTCCATATATTTTTGTATGGTAAATCCGGTCACTTCGGAACACCGCGTCGTAACATGCCAACACTAGCCCCAGAGGCTATGAGACGCTCTCAACAGCGATCTCCTAGATAATTTTTTTTGCCACTCAATCTTCTCAATTGGTTCCCTCAGTACTACTGCGTACGGATATCCTGCGATCCCAAATGAATGCCTAGCCCGGCGGGGACCGGCGTATCTTGGTGTCGGCAGAAGCCCATTGTACGCTGGGTCCAATTACGCAATCCTCTAGCGAGTGGATCAACCACCCGCACCCATCAAGAATCAAATCAAATTAACAACCTAATGAACGCTTCTTTACATATGAAACTATATCTATCCTAATCAGGGCGCCTACCTCCCCTGTTCCCTATGTTATCATAATACTTACTTTTCGGTGAGGCGTGCTGATTTGTCTGGACACTTTGGTCAATTTAGGACTATTTAGATGCGTTTCCTGGAGATTCGACACGCCGTTACGGCGGCGCGCATTGTTGGCAAATGCACAAGTCTGCCTTCTGCTTCCTGAATAGATTCTGATTTCTGAATTTTGACAGTCTTTGATAAGAAGGAAGATCCTATCTTCTTGTTCGAGGAGTTTCGCGAAGATCAAGAACGTTGGGGTGGCATGGTGAGTGGTTGAATTAGTTAGGGTGGACCCGCGCGATGCGGTCGTGGGTGGGTAGTCCATTCACTTGTGAATTATGTTAGTTAGTTAATTAACTAACTATTCCAAGAGCTGACGACATAGACAGAGGATCGCCAAGTGCGGCCAATGCTGTGGATGATGGTTTGACTGGCGTGGCCTTGTAATTGATACGGAAAGTTGTTTACTTCAGTGCATATCATGAGCCACTCATCTTTTCCTTTTTCCTTTTTTTGAGAGAAGAAATGATAGCGGAAGGGAAGTTCATCCAGGTTATTTACTACGGCTCATAAGCCATTATGGCTGATTCTAGCTCTCTTTATTGAAACAAGTTGAAGATATTTTACAGATATAGATATAGATATGCACATTCCTATATTGTATATGATCCTGCCACCACGTAGGCGATGTTGAGAGAGGAGATGTACGTGGTATAGGAAGTCGTTTAGTCCCAGCAGAATGAATGACTTGTTGTAGGTTTCTGTCTAGAAGGTCTGCATTGGGAGAGTACTTATAACCTCTACCAAAACGACTATTTGCAACACAAAATTAGTCTGGAACTGTCCTTTGAAATGCTACCTAAATATACCCAGCCACAGCGATGCTTAGTACAGGTCATCAGCGGTAAATGGGTGGTATTTTTCAACACCACGATCAGAAGTTTATCAACTGAGTATCCTTTTGAGTGTCAAACTCTAATTACATATGCTACAATTATTTCGTATATATATATTACAAGTTTGCATCATGAAATGGAGGCACTTATCACTATTCATTGAACATAATTATCTTCCCGGGCAATCCATACTCCCCGAATCAACTTCTGTATAGTTACGTCCTTTTATCATCCCATATCCCTATTCAATATTGGTGCTGTGTGTACAATTCGACTGAGTCCCGTCCTCGTCTCTCTCAAGTGCCACCAGCGGAAGGAGACCCATTGGCCCTTTTATTCTACGCAGTCGATTAGCAGCGATACTCAAGCCTTGGGCACACAGAGCAAGACTCACCGATAGGAAAGCGGCACAAACAAGACTAACCGCAGCCCCAACATAGATACAAGTGAACCTGTAAAAGGGCGTGAGCCGATGATTCAAGATCCCGGGGAAGAGTGCTCGGATAACCTACACGTCATTCCACGCAGATACAATCACGTCCAACACCTTAGAACGCATCTCGGACGACAGTGAGCTCAGGAGGCCCCCGCTTGTTCCTGCTACCATCTGCTGCACTTGATCACGCGGGGTGGTCGGAAGGAGACGGTAAAGGTTTTCCGAGGCAACGTTGACGAAGACGGCGCCTCCGACGGAGAGGCCGAGGGTCAGGCCGCCGAGTTGTGCTGTATATATCTGTTAGCCATCGGCTAGACCGAGATGACTTTGCCAGTACGGATATTACCTAGAAGCATTAAAGATAGTCCGTTGGCCGCTTCCGATGGTGCCACAACGGCCTGTATGACCGCGAAGGAGGCTTGGGTGTACGCACCTGCGCCCAAGCCTAGAATGATCTCCAGACCGTACAGAATGGCGGGCGATGTGTTGACGTGGACAATTGTAGCTGGAGTTGTCAGCATGGACTAAATCTGCTGCCGTGAACTTCGAAGCATACCCATCAAAACAGCCGCAATCAAGGCCACAATGCTACCTCCAAGATAGCATGGCTTGTAATATCCAATCCTCGACATATAAATTCCGCTGGCCGGGATGGCAGTAATGAGGAAGAAGATGAAAGGCAGCTGTCGAACAGCCGAGTCGATCGCCGTATCACCACGGGTGAATTGAAAGTAGATGGGTATGTAATACACGCTAGTGTAGGATACGGCACCCACAGCAGTGCATGCCACGAAGAGCAGAAGTGGCTCCTTCTGCAGATAGAGATGGATCGGCAGCATGCGGGTCTCCTTGGTGGTGAAAATGGTTAAGACTTGCTGGAGCACAAAAGCAATCCATAGGACACCGGTCACCACAAATAGCGCGATGATCTGGCCACTTCTCCATGGATAGAGGGTGCCTCCAAAATTGATACCCATCACCAGCGTGATACAGGCTCCCACACTAAGAACGGCACCAACCCAGTCAAATGTCACCAGCCTCTGCCATCTTGTCTTACCAGGGATGGGATTGTTGGAGGGGAGGATGAATACATAGATTGGGAGAAGAATAGCTCCAAAAAGCAAGTTGATGTAGAAGGCCCAGCGCCATGTATATAGTTCGAAGCCGCCCCCAATGACTGGACCCAAGACTGTTCCTACACCCCAAACGAGGCCGCTATGTCTCGATGTCAGCGATAGCATGTCAATGCCAGGTGGATACTCACGTCAAGCTAAGGTATCCGGGTCTCTCGCGGTTTGTCGTATTCATCGAAATGATTACCAGCAGGCCAAAGTACATGCCGTTTCCACCTGCACCGGCAAATACTCGTCCGACAGTCTCCGCCTGCATATTCGGCGCAGCACCACACAGACCAGATGCGGCCATGAAGACAATGGTTGAGCTGATATAAATCCACTTGGCGTCGAACAGAGCGTACAGCCTTCCTAGCGGCAACACCATCGCCATACCCCCGATCATGAACCTAGATTATACAATGAGCGCAGAAATAAATCGTGGTGATTATCACGAGACAAACCCGACAGACAGCCATGGTAAGTCTGAAACAGCGTCGAACTGGTTAACGATAGCCTGGGATCTCATTGTCAGTATGTCGCCACTTGCAGAGCCGAGTGTGTGCGCCACGTACGGGAACAATGTTTGCTACGATGGTGTTGTCGAGAGCGTAGACAAAAATGGCTGTGAGGGTACTTGAAATAAATAGAAACCACTGAACAGGTGAGCCCACGATAAAAGCAAATTATGTCTTAGGTCACCATTACATACACGAAATCCAGTGATGGTTCGGACATCCTTCAAATCATCGTCCGATCCATTGCCGCCAGAGTGTATGCCCTTCTCGGTATCCCTTGCCAAATTCTGGGCCTCTGGGTTGGATGTACCGGTGGAAATGGCATTGAAGGTATCTTCACTGGGGGATGCTACCTTATCGCTCGTCACTGTCGAACTGAGAGCCATGTTGCCAATGGTGCTAACAATAAAAGAGCACGCAGCTGATCGGGTAAAGCCCAGGAAATCAAACAATCTGCCGCGCTCGATCGACGAGGATTTTATTAATTTAAACCATGACAAGACGGATCAATTAATGAGGTGATATACTCCTTCATGCTTCATGAACCCTGTAAGCTCGATCGCTGTACGCGGGTCCGACTGATCCCGAAAATCTCTCAGATCCACACGAAAGCACAAATCTAGCGAGTTCCCGGCCCAGAAATATTTACTGTGCTAGAGTAGAAACACCGATAAAGAAGACGGTTATTATTTATATACATAATGAGTGTACTCTACAAATTCAAGTATTTACTTCGAATTGTTGGTGCGCGGAATTTGGAAACATTACAATCTGACCAGGGCATACCCAGCTCATGGGTAGGGACTCCCTACCCATACCCATACCCATGAACCCATGGGTAATAGACGTCGGCCCATACCCATTTCTACCGCATGATAAGTTGAGCGCCAAAATTCCAGCGCCGCGCTCTCGAGAAGGTCAAGTCGCTGATACGCGCCGAGCGCTCAATTATTGGCGCTTTGAGCTAATGCCGCGACGCCTCGTCGCATTAGTGATACTTCGGTGCTATGTGATAGATCAATCAATCAAGAAAATGTTTCATTTGATACCTATCAATTTAGATTTCCAACTGAAATGAGTTGTCTCTTGTGTTCCTACTGGATCCCCACAAGCAGCGAAGCATTATTCCAGTAATCGCTGAATGACATATCCGCCGCATAAGTCAAGGATGGACTGAATCGCTGCCGAAATCCCAAAGCGAGAGAGGTTCACAAAAATAGATGAACAGAATCAATACAAAAAAGTAAAATAGACCTAACTTTTGAATGTGAACCGATTCGCACTCAAATGGCAATCGCCAGGTGCTCGCGATGAAAGGAAACCAGATCATCACTTGCCTCAGCCTGTCCGGACCCGAACGACTGCAAATTCCATTTGTCGATGCCGTCAACCCCCTCTAGGTCATTCGCAAATGTGTTAAACAGATCTTGGTTAAGCCGTTCATATTCAGAGTAATCCTTAGGCCAATCTCCAAGGCGCTCGACGGCAAGTTTGAGCATGTGCAAGTGCTGTCGGACATGTTTTCCTTCTTCCCTTTCTCCTGGACTGGCGGAGGATGAGGGTGATGACATGCCAGAGATGACCTCCATGTCCACATCCCCCGTAGACGCCGAAGACGGGTCGATGAACACGCGTAGGGCATTTTCATGCAGCGCCGCCGCTTTCCGATAGTACCGATAGGCTAGCTCGTGTCGACCCTTCTGTTCTTGGTAGCCTTGAGCCATGCTGGTGTACATCTGCGACAGTAACACGGTCATTTCGATAGTACTCGGGTGGCGGGGCCCATGGACACGAGCGCAGTTGTATACAAGGTCTTCTGCGAGCCTAACGGAAGCTGCGTAGTCACCAACGAGGTATCGTGTAATAACTAGCATGCGCCCGAGAGCAAGTGTATATGCATGTTGTGGCTGTAACAAGGTATAGGTATCCCGGCTGTTCCAGAGGGAGGTGAGAACCCAGGCCAAGGTGTCGTAGTCGTGTTGGTCATCGAGAACCTTGATCAAGCTATTGACGTTTGCTAGATCTAGCTGTGCGAGCTCGATGTTGTGCTCTTTGAAATAGCCTAACGTGTCACGCAGAATCGTCGCCGAGACGCCTAGCATCTGCTTTTGGACAGAGGCTGCGGGGGGCGCGTCAATTTCTCGGCCAGCGATGAGTAGGCCAAGCTTAAACACCAGCTTGCTTGTCGCCTGATCCGAGTAGCCGTGGTGGGCAGCAATATATTTCGTCGCCGCCAACGCGAGGTGGCAGGCTGCCTGGTAATCTCCGGAGTCGAGCTGCTGGGCCACGCGGTTGTAGCTAGCGATGGCCACTGAACGAATGAAGTTGCGCGAGGCATGGTTGCTAAAATACTCAAGGAGCGTCTCGGTGAATACCTTGGCCTGGTTGGAGTCCATATCCAGGCTGGAGCCCTCAGACGCCAGGAAGAAGCTGGTGTACTGATCCACCACCTGATTGGCAGCCGACCGACGACCGCCGCTGAGTAGGAACGCGTGCAGGCGGGCCACCGTGGCCGTCGTACCCTGCAGTTTGCCAGCCTTTGAGCTTAGGGCTTCGCGGAACTGCTCAAAGTACAGATACTCCTTGGTCAGGGCAGCGTAGACCTCATTCAACGTGGTTGAGGCATTTGTGGATTCCCGTATGATGTGTTCGAATTGAGCCAGGAAGAAAAGGCTCAGCCGGTGGTTTGAACTCTGGTTCAAGCTAAGGGCACTGGAACTTCTCCCATCCTTGATCATAATCTGGAGATAAATCTCGTCTGAGAGATCTCTCGCCTTTTGAATTTGACCGGCTGCGATATAGCCAGATGCAATGCTCTTGGCCGCCGCAGTCAGCCTGATAGAGGATGTCTCAGTGGACAGTACTTGCACCGTTGCTTCCTCCAGCAGCGAGATAGCAGCTTGCGCCTTGTTTTGTTTGGCATATAGTGAGACAATCTCCTCCATCTGGGACAGGGCTTCTTCGTGTGCCCATCCATAGCTGGAGCGGATGGATGTCAGTCGTTGGGTGCGAATAGACTCCACCTTCTGTAGCTCCTTTGTCGACATGTTCTCCACTTTTAAAGCGGTCAAGGAGGCATTCTGTTGCTCATAGATAGCCTCCAGAATGGCGCGGATGTCCTGATGGTCGATTTCAACTTCACTGTTTTTGACCCTCAAGAGCTCTTCGTAGAGCTGGATCGCTTCCGTGTCATATTTCTTGGACTGTTGGCAGATGTTTGCCAGCGTGTTAGTTGCCTGAATGGTGATTGACGCGTTCGCACCGAAGAGGCTAATGCACGCTTTGCGATATTTCACCGTCACGTCATGAATGACGGTGATGTCACTGCGAGCCACGCGTAGGCAGTGCACGTAACGTTCATAGATGCTTTGAACAAATGCCTGATCCTGCAATTTCGGGTTGATCGTAGGGCTCTGCAGGGTCATGAACAACACCCGGCAGGGCTTCAGCGCGTCCGCGTAACGGCCTTGTTTCAATAGCTCGGTTGCCACAATCAGGAGGGGCTCGAAGGCATCCGGGTGACAGGTCTCTGAGTCCTTGTTCAGAATATGGATGATCTGGCGGTAGTAATCCATTGCGATAGGCTGCGGGCGCGTCAGTCTCGCCAGGGTCCAAAGCTTTTGGATCACAATGGGATGTTCCCCGCCAAATCGCTTGGTGTAATCTTGGAGTAAATTCTGGTGGATGGTGATGACCTTGTCGGTTTGAGAGGTACGCTCGTATAGACGAAGAAGGTTCGTTGTGACTCGCTCCAAGGTTTGATATCCGCACGCAGGCCGATCGCGTCGAGCTGCACGATAAACCCGGGTCCGTATATCCTCTTCCTTAGTCGGGCGACGGCGGGAGCGATAGCAGTCGGCGAGATGCTCTGCGAGTTCAATACAGTATTCAACTTGGGTGGATGGCAGGGCGACTTCTTCGAGCGAGGGCGCAAACAACGACGGCCAAACAATTCGCAGCACTCGTTTTAACACACTCGTAGCGTCATGCCACCGGTGTTGAGACAGGTACATTTCGATCAGTGATGTTGTCGCTGTGGTGGAAACCTGCTCCGCACTGGATGCGCTGTATACAGTTTCCTTGAGGGTGGACTCCGTCACCAAGGATTGTGAGCGTATCACTTCCAGAGAGGTGGACTGGATGTACTTTTCCACGTCTTTGTGGATGGCACTTTGGCTGCTAGTATTTTGTGCGCAGTGTTTGTAGACTTCGATGGCCAACACGGACAGCCCCACGGACTTCATGACCTGAGCAAGCTCCAGCAAATGTGGCACCAAGGCTTCAGGGCTGGGGGCGGTTTTCTCGTACTCTTCCCAAAACCCGGCAACGATCGAGGCTGTTTCAGTGTTTCTCTTCTGGCCTTCGAGGAATTTAGCATACGCGAGAACAGCTCGCAACATGGTGAGCTTGTGCTCAGTAGAGTGATTAAGCCGATACTCCTGGCTAGCCTGCTGCCAGAGCTCCACATACGTCTGTTCGGCTTCTGTAATGTGATGCTCTGTCTTCTGTCGCTCGGCTTCGGCCAAGTGAGTCTCCAGGTCAAAGGACCAAGTAATCAACTCATCCACCTCGATCCCATCCAAAGCCAGGCTGGTACCAGTCTCTGTCGGCGTGTCTTTCCGGCTGTGGAGGTGAACCAGTAAAGAATCGTCCACCTGTCTAGACCCTTTCCGCTGGGTTGTACTGTCGGTGGCGGAACCCTCTAGGGACATAGTGATCTCCTGGGCTTTGCGGTGCTCTTTTATGGAAGCATAATGCTCGGACAACTGCGTCAGTGTGGAGGTGACCATAACGCTTGTCCCCCCATAGTGGACCTTATAGCATTCCACTAGTAGTTGGAGGATTTCGACACGCCGGGTCATGACTTCCGTCTTAGACTCAGTTACTTGTTCAGCCGTGCTCTCCAAGAAGAACTGTGCCATCTGCATAGTGATGAGATGTCGGACGGATAGCATCTTCTGGCAAATTATCGCCGCCTCGTAGAAAATTTGGCCGCTCTCGGCAGGCACACTGGTGTAGATCTGTCTGTGGAACAGCGCCTGGGAGATTATGGCCTGCAGAGTGGCTGGATGGTTACTGTTCAGAATTTCGCGGTACAGTAATGTTTGAATCCTGTGAATGGACCGGAGCGACGGAGTCGTCTTGCTCGCCCACACGGTCATCTCTAGAAGTGGCACAGTAGGGCTGGTGGGGAAGACAGATCGCAAACTCTTGCCCGCTGTAGTGACCTCTTGGTCGTTGGTGCACCCAAACGCAATGTTGACATAACTTGGCCAGTATCGAAGCGCAAAATCTAGCAGGGGATGATTCTCCAGTAAGTGTTCTGTCACCCGCCCGTTCAGTGGGTCCAAAGAGGGCTCGTGGCTGTCGGTCACACTGTGCTTTGCGTATAATAGGAGTCTTTGGGCAAAGTCCACATTCCGATCCTTGATCACGGGCAGGAGTTTACCCTTGGAGAAGACGTCCAAAATAGCAACACGCACCTGCTCGTGCCTAAGATAGACCAAGTTGTTTTGGAAGAACACAAGCGAGGCGACCGGTTTCAGTACTTGAAGGAGGTCAATGTCGCCGTGCTCCGTGACTTCAGCCTTGCTGGGCTGCATGGAGAGAAGAGCGGCCAATTCCTGCTGGGAGAGAGGGCGACTCGCGGTGGCCAGCCAGACAAGAATCTTCTTCGTATCCTCGTCGAGCTTGGGCTGCAAGGTGTGTGAAACATGGTCGGTGATTTTGTATCCCGCTTTCACGATGCTCTCAACAGACTTGGAAAGCGCGGACTTATTCGGCAGGTGTTCATCGCGCACGCGCTTGGCGGCCAGCTTTGCCCAGAGGAAGGAACCATCAGACGCCTCTGTGATACGGGCCACCGTCAACTCTTGGTCTTCGTCAGACATGGTGTTAAAGGCGTGGCTCTGGTGAAGGATCCTGCGGGTGACTGCGGCAACGTCATCGAATATGAGCCCCAGCGTGGCTCGCACCGTCGTCTGAGAGACAATTGAGTCCACTTCCTGAGATGCGAGTGTGATCAGCTTCATGGAGGGGTTTTTGGACGCCGCCTCATGAAGTCGGTGCAACAAGGCTCTCTCCGCGCAGCTGGCCTCGTCAACACCGTCGACAACCAGAACCAGCTCCCTAGCGCTCGCTAGACTGGCCTGAAGGGCATGTGTCAGGGCATTCCAAAGCAGATCGTCAAATGATGCTTCGTCGATAGTACGCTGGCTCTGATTGTAAGCATCAGCCAAAACCTGGTACAACTGCACATTGCCGAGGTGTTTGTTGAACATTTGGGACAATATCCCCTTGATCACAGCGCTCGGGGCCGTCCTGGCAGGAATCCGACCATCTGGCAAGACTAGTCAAAACGATGTAGGTAGGGTTTGAAGGCAGCAATACTAACTGATAGGTGCCAGAATGGACGTATACCTCGTCCCTCCTACGGGATGCTGTAGGTAATCGTTGATCACAGTCGACAAGACCGTCTTGCCGGAGCCCGGCTTGCCGATGATAGAGAGCACCTGCTGCTCGCCTTTCAAGAACCGCGTCAGGAAAGGTTTCACCCACATACAGGTGCCCTCCTCGCGCTCGTGGGCTGAGGGAGCCATGGCCTCTATGTGAGCGAGTGTCGGGTCTTCAGGCTGCAGCCAGTCTTTGAGTGTATTGATTCCAACAGCTGTCTCGCTATGATCAGAATGGACTAGATGACTTTAGGTGCTCTGAAGTGACATTACCTTTATCGCCATTAAACCCCTCTCGCGTCAATTGGTGACGCCACATAAGTTCTGATGCGTGCTCGCAGCGACCACGGAAACTGTTGATCGGACTAGGAAAGGTACTATAGATATCTACTGAGACCGATTCCGAGGAAAGTAGCAACCGGTGGAAGTGTGTGGCCACACAGACAACGAGGGTCACCAAGTCGGCCAACGCGAGAATAAGCTGGTCCTTGATATCGGAAGAGACCACAAATAGCTCTGCACGATCCAGCAGGTTGCCCAGACCTGCTGAGCAACGGTAAAAAAAGCCAAACAGGTCCATAAGGGCCTGGGCGTTTGACTCGCCCAACTGCCCGCTCGCGGTTAGTGGATTGACTTAATAGGCCCGGAAACGCGTTGCATTTGGCGTACCTCAAGCAGACTCGCACAGTATCCGTAAGACATCTGAGCAGCGAGGTGGCTGTCGCCCGCGAACTGCTCGATCCCTGAATCGAAAGAATGTACACGCTCGACAAACAAGGCCGCCCACACAAGGGCCTTGTCATAACTACTCCCCTCGGGCGGCAGCTTCTTCATCCTCTCGCACCGAATCCACTCCAGCAGGCTAGCATAGTCCGTATCGGTTACCCGGGAGGCCGTAAGGTCGTCGCTGCCCCGGTGTGCAAGCGAATTGACTACTTCGACGAGAGTGGTGCCTTCTCCACTGGACTTCATAGTTGCTTGCTGGTGCTGACTGAGACGCTTCTCCCTTGTTATAGTCGCGTGCTGCTCCAGCCGGTCCGACGTCCGCTGCAAACCGAGAAGAGATGTGGATGCTAGAGGAGGTAGGCCATGTGGTACTGAAGCCATGGCTGGCCTTATTTCTTTGTCGTATTATCAAGTTATAGAAGATTATGGGAATAATAAGGTTACGTTTAGGAGTACCTTCCACTCCCAGGCTGGGGACGAGTACACTTTCTTATATCTTTACTCTTTCCTCTTTGTTTCATGATCATGCCTCCATTGCCTTCCGCAAAGTCCACGACGTCAGTATGAGGCAGCTGCGACTCAAGGATTCGCTACTGCATGATAGTGGCGTGGCGGCTTCATAGGATATTCGGAGACTTACAGTCGATTAAGTCATATTTGCGACGAAAGCGTGAATGGCTGAACATGGGTAGGCGACAGAAGACCCTTGAGAGCCCTTCTCTGGACAGAGTCAAGGTTTCCGAGCCATCCCAGGCAAATAGAAGCGTGGTGTTGTATGAGCTGAGCTCGATTAAGTTTGCACCGCGGATTTGGAAAGCTGGAAGGCTGCGTTAAGCCGTTAAAGCAACGACATAGAACAGGCATGAATGTGATGTTGGGTCGGTACGGGGAAGCTCCCGTGGTCACGAACCGCTTCGATTGCAGACCCACATGGGTACCACAGCAAGATGTCCATGGGCATCTCCAATGCACCCATGGCTATATGTATTTGGAATCATGGAGTGAATGGAAATATCAACCTTGAAGCAGCTGGTAATGTATCAAACGAGCACCCTGTCCTCTCTGTCAATTTATTAAACATTAGCAGGAACACCGTAGTTCAGAACACTCCTAGTCAAAGAGATTCTCGAAGCTAAGCTTCAAGTCAATCACGACCATTGTTTTAGTATACTTCAGGGTAGCCCCATTCATTGGTCCAGGGTGGCATGCCATTCAATAACATGGAGGGAGGGGGGTGTGGATGATGTTATGGAATGAATGCCTACCATATCCAGAATGATGATGCAATGCGAGCATAATAACCTCGGTTTAAATATTGGGAGTGGCCAACATGCGAGCCGATAAAATTACAACGACATTGATGACTCCACCCCGCCCGTCGCGTCCCGGCCCTCGGCCATAACTAACCTCATTTCAAAACCCGCCTGCCGCATGGAAACCACGGAATCATGGCGAAGGTAGAAGAAACTTTGTTTTCACGTCAGAGAAAAGATAATATTAGCTTTCTATCTATGATGTGCAATGATCAACTAACAAAAGTACTAACCATTTTACATGCGGTGGCGGTTAACGTCATGACATCGGAAGGGACTACAGGCAAGTGGATTTCATCATTTAGGTCATGTTCAAAGCAAATCTGAGAACTAGAAAAAAAAAAAAAGGTCGGAGTCTGCCACTTTAGAAATTGCCGTGTTTTACGGGAGCTCCGAACTACACTACAAGCCAACTGAGCAACCCTCAGGGATTCGTCACGGTTCGCTTAATTGTCACTCTGTAGCTCTCTTCTCATAGTCCGGAAGCTCCACGGCCAACCAGCCTTCCGAATTCTGCAATGTGATCCGCACTTCATCTTGTAGTCTAGTCGAAAGAACCACAGATATTCCCTCCCTATCCCTCTTGCCTCCCGTCTCATCTGGGCCCAAGTATACCTTCGAATTATGAATCGCCAACCGCTGCTGCAATGATCCATCGAGAGGCGTGTTTGACCGAATGATGACAGCGCTGTTGCCATGCACTTTGCTGCCTGCACTCTCCATGATTCCCGGATGCCCATAAAACCCTCATTGACTCCAATGATCGTTGGGAGAAAATGCAAAATACCATGTCGATCCAGCTATTATGCGCTAAGTCCATTGGGTATCGGAAGTGGTTATATGCATAAGTTCTTGCTTGCTCATGCTTGTTGGTTTATTCGTTTTCCAAAGGTGCGAGCTGACCGGCTGAACCATGGCCCAATGATGAAACTGGGTCCATTTACGTATCTGTCACAAGAGAGACCCCAAGACGCCGACCTGTTTGACGTAAGAGAGGATCTACCAAACTTTTTATAATTTGATAGTAGCGACTGTTTCTGCTTCTTGGATAGAGTCCCATTTATCGGCTGCCCAGGTGTGTGTCACTCCATGTAAACACACAGTAAACGACTTCCGCACACGGCTGATTATGTTTTGGACCCGGGGGCCGGGAGGCTGAAAGAACCATGGATTTCTTTGCACATCATGGAAACAAAACTCTAGACTACGGGATGTCCTAGTTCAGTTCATCACAACATGTGACGCTGCATTCATCATACTAGAGGAAACTCCGAATTTACCCAAACTTGACGGGATATATATTGCATGTTCATTCTTCCTGGAAATACCTTGGTTAACAAGCCATCGTACAGGCCAATCTTCACCGCTGCTTAACTAGGTAGTCAGTGAATTCAATCCTCATTGTGTGATCAACAAGAGATACTGAAACTCTTGCTTCCAGCCAAGCTTTACCCCCCAAAAGCAGGTTACGAACACAAGGATGAGCGATCCTGTCCCAGCATTGAGGTACATAAATCTCAGCTCATAAGTTACTTGACACCCCTATATTACCGTTTTATGTGCAACAAGAACCCTATTTCCAAGTCTCAGAAGGCTAACCCGAGAGCCGACCGCTGCAGTGGCGTCGACCCCAGCATTGGCAAAGGAAAACGGAGGGCCCGCCAGGGTTCGGAAAGCTCGTCTTCGAGCAACGACCCCATTGAAAGCCTAGTGGATCCTGAGATACTAGCTAATGGAGAAGGCCAGTTGATTGGGCCCGCCGCCGCCCGTGAACTTGACAAGAAAAATAAGAAGGACAATGAAGTGAAGAAGAACGATAATGGCAGCCTTAACATTAAGATTCATCTTGACTTGCATGCTAAGGTCAAGTTGGATTTGGAGGCTGACCTATATGGAGATATTGTGATTGGGCTATTCTGATTGAGATGCTGAGGGCCGGTCGCTACCGTTAGCTAAATAGTAAACTTGCTGCGATTGTGGCGATTGCAAACCTATGTGATGGTTGAAGTAACGTCCATTCCTATTACATAGACGCTTATCAAGAGCCCTATAGGGATCTTTAGGAACACCCCTATAGGGATCTTTAGGAACATCTTAAACGTAGTAAAAGGAACTATGATAACATAAAATGAACGCCCCAGCTAGGTATGTATTACCCTGGCGTAGGTAGATATATAAAAGGGCGTCTATCACCTCGGTCCCCAGAATTCTCACCTACGTCACTCACCCACCCTAAATCAGATTTCCTCGCCACTTTAGTGTATAGACTTCTACAGGCTATATAGTCCAGATTTCACTTCAGCGTGTGGCTTATGTGCGACCAGTAGCCGGATGAGTGTCGCCCAGGTGAATAGAGGCGCCGCTTTGGCGTCGCGCGACCGGAGCTGAGAAGGCTGAGCTATGGATAGCGTGAGGATTCTGAGTCGCCAATCGCATTGACCTTTCGGCTGATCCATACTACAAGTGTATTATGTGTTATGATCCCTACTTAAAATACTTGGTCTCTTGGCATATACACGCAAAGCCATCAACTAAGATGTAAATAACTTTAGCAATCGGAAAAATTGCCAGGTTCTTAGGTTAAGCAGTCACAGGCCATTGTGTTTAATACCTTGACCACGCGGCTTGATCGGATTATCTGCGGCGCCAATGCCGAAGAGACACACCCTCTAACTTTATATCGCTAGGATAAAGAAGGTTGTACCAGGGTTTGCTTTTTGTTTGGTTGTAGGGGTTTACTCGAGCACGACAGGCTCTTGCTTGTTTATTATATCTAGTATACCCACATAGAATATTAGTATTTACCTAGGTTTCCTATCCATCAGGCAAGGGAGATATATGAGTAGCAAGAGACGGCAGATAGAATTGTATGGCCTAGATAAAACCCAATTCTTGAGAGATTCCAGTTCCTCTGCGAGGGAGACCCTTTATTCATGTCGCCCAGAGCCGTAAAGTAAATCACATTAGGCCTTTAGTGTTTACCGTATCGTACATGGTTGATGATCAGCTGGCAGTGGTGGAGCCTCGGCAGAAACTCAAAAACCACTATGTCTCAGAATCACGGTCTAACAATCACAGATTCAGGGCTCACTGTGGATACGGAGCTCGATAATACAATTCACTTGTGAAACAAGTCAATTCAAAAATCCGATTCTACGAAACATGCGCCTCAAGTTCTGCCACGAAGCTATACCAAAGATTGAGACTCAGAGCCGAAACCATCCAGGGGTGGAGAAATTTAGAGGAACTTCTGAAACCTCTTGGGCACTTGTGTGTGCTTCAACTTTTTCAGAAACTCAATGGGAAGCTAAGCGGGGCGCAGCACAGCGCCAAACCCAAACAGGCTCCTTGAACAGGATGTTGATAAATCCTCGTTATAGGAATTGAATGCGAGGATATGTTGAATAGATGCCGAAGGTGCCTGCTAGCTTAAAAGCCGAGGGCAGCTGTTAATATACACGTAGTGGATTTGAATGCACTGTTCCCCGGTCTATATGTGCTTCAACTGCAGCAATAAAATAGTAACTTATCGGGTCCCACATCCCATACTCTCACTGGAGGCATCGGTGGCTGTACGAAGATCTGGAATAGTAAATAATAACGTGCGGCAAAATGCTGCAACAGTAAACATCTCGGTCATTGCAGGCTGAAAATCGGAGCTCAGATCGAGATAGAGTGATCTAGTAAAACCATAGTTTCAACAGCCACTAAATAGGAGAAAACCATGGGTTTACGCCCCAGATCGAGATTGTCGACAATTTCGACCGAGCGTTTAAACCTAGTTTGGATCACTGGCTCCACCGTATAGATGGCCAGTTTGGCCCCAAAGTTTGACCAGCTTGGCCCCATGTTTATCTGGACAATCTAGACTACTGTGTCTCTCCCTGACTCCTTTTTGTATCTCCCTCCCTTCTTTGCCTCGAAGGTGAGCCTCTCATTTCATCATGCAGGCTAAGTCAGAGGAAGCCATCTGCAGCGTCGCGGCTCTAGCCACCCAACTAGGCAATCAGATCTCCGTGCACATGCTCAACTATCTCAGCACCACCAAAGACCTACCCGACGGTTTTCGCGAGCTTTCCCATACGTTCCTCGATACCTGTCGCACACTGTGGGCCATTGAAGCCGGAGTGACCGAATTAGCCGCCGCCAATCGCGCCCTGCCCGAGGTGATAATTGAAGAGGTGGAAAAGAAATTTGTTTCCACATACCGCGATTTTCAACAACTCGACAAGGTCATTTTGAAACTTGTTCAGTATGAACATCGTGGGACATTGGGAAAGCTGCAGCGAGGATGGCATCGACCAGGCCATGAACTCAACCGAATTCACGAGTCACTGAAAAAGGCTACCGAAACCCTTCAGATCAGCGGCATGGCCTTCCACTGGTCCCTCGGAGACGCACACCCGGAGGAGTCGGTAGGCATTGGGTATGCAGGCTTGGCTGCTGCGCTCGACCGCGTATCTAAAGGCCGCTCCGTGATGGGCATAAACAAGGCCAAGACTTTTGAATCTGAGCGGTCCGTACCATCGATCCAAAGTCAGTCGCCTGATTCAATGCGGTCGACACCATCCGTGCCTCCGAAGGAATCATTTACCGCCCTCCGACCCAGCCAGGGCATTCGCCAACAAGATCCTGAAATTATCACGGATGACATGTCCTCTGTCCTGTCTCTGAACGGGTTTCTGAACCACCAGCCTGGACGTGAGACCGAAAAGATTCCCTACTTCGAGCACCGAGCACTGCCACGCCGACCGGCCAAGGAAAACTCAATAGCTTCTGCTGAAGAAATCAATCTACGGAATGACAACTATTCGGACCCTGATTCCGCCAGCACCAAGCTAACACAGACTTTGCTCGCCCATGGCGTAAATCTGAAAGACGAGACGCGCAATGGCACAACGTTACTGATCGAAGCAATTCGCAAGCGAGCACCGCAGCAAGCCATCGAAACCCTGCTCAATTCCGGTTGTGACCCCAACCGCAAAGACGACCACGGCAAGACAGCGCTATGCGAAGCCGTACAAAGCGACCAACCAGCCATCGTGACCACCCTATTAAATCAGGACGCGAATCCAAACCTGCCGGGACCTGAACACGTCCTCTGGTCCGCCGTCCACCGCCCAGGCTGCCTGCGCATCCTGCTCGCGCGCGGCGCTGACATTCGAAAGACTCCTGGCCTGATGGAGCAGGCGACAAGTGTGAACAGCATCGATGCCGTGCACGTTCTGCTGCAGGCTGGTATGGACCCAAACTCCAAAAAGGACGGAATATACACGCCACTATGCTCGGCCATCCGCGATGACCGGCCAGATATCCTCACCTTGCTGCTCAGTCACGGCGCTGACCCTAACCTGATGGCGTCTGAGTACCCAGCCTGGAAGTGTATCACCCACAACCGCCTTCATTTCCTCCCGGACTTAGTGGCAGCCGGCGCGGACCTCCACCAACCACCGGGTATCGTCGAGTGCGCCGTACAGAAGAATAACACAGAGGCTCTACACTGGCTCGTGGGCCCAGGCGGCGCCAACCCAAATGATCGCAACGCTCTGGGACACACAGCTGTGACAACCGCCATCCGGGAGAAGCGTCCAGAGATGCTAGGCTGGTTACTAGCGCATGGTGCCGATCCCAACCTACGCGGCCAAGACTGGCCCGTGTATATGGCGACTCAGTCGCCGAGCATGCTACGGCTCCTGCTGCCCAGCATAACAGACCTATCCGCGCACAAGGGCGTCATGGAGAAAGCAGTCCAAGCCAATCAACTGGAAAACGTCAAACTACTCCTCGCCGCCGGCGCCAATGTAGAGTGGAAAAACGGCGGCGTGTTCTCACCGCTGACGACAGCGCTGCGCGAGCGCCACTGGGTCATTGTGCGTTATCTCCTGGACGAGGCTGGTGCCGACCCCAATGCTCCTGGTGAACATCTGCCTCTCGTCAAGGCGATACGGCGATGCGACGATGGTGACTTTTCCATGATTGAGCTACTCCTCGAAAGGGGGGCTGACCCGAATAAATGCTACCGCGACTGGAACGCTATCATGCAGGCCATTGAAGACCGCGATCTCCGGTTGCTGCAGCTCTTGATTGAGAAGGGTTGTCGGGCTGATCTTGCTCAGAAAGACGAGATGGGCAAGACGGTCTTGGATATGGCCAATTCTTCTGGTTGGCTGGAAGGGACTGAGCTTCTGTTAAATAATGCTCATCAGTGATGATATTTGTCGAGTAATATCCCTCAGTTATATAATTTCAACGAGCTTTCCCTAACGATGGAACAATTTATTCGCACCCATATTGACGGTAGTAAGAATAGTTATACGCCCGCAAGCCTGGCCCACGAGATCACCAAGATCCAAGCCACGCATTGACTAAGGGCAATATTAAAAGGACCCCCTCTCCACCTGTCTAAGCCTAATTAGGGAAGGCGTAGTATGTGTTTTTCACGGTGTCTTTTTTAGTACAGTGACACAGCAAATGTTTTAACACTGTTGGACAGACCGTTTTTTAGACAGTTTTTTAGACCGCTTTTTAGACCCCCTATCGTAAACCGAAGAGTAAGTCTATATCATCTTACTTTCTAAACGTTTTTGCTTTATGAGTGCTTTTAATAGAAGATTAGATTCAACTGTCACGGCGTGGCGTCTAGGGTGCGCACGCGTACAATTGTGCGTACTGAGTAGTATATGTATCGGTCCTAGGCATGTCAGCCTGACGGCTGACATAGTGGTCTTTTTGGCCTAGTTGGTATACGTGTATCGAGCTAGGTGCAAGTCTTCACACACCCTACGAGGCCTATTGTCTTCCTTTACGCCCTTTTGTCATTTTTACTAAGGAAATACACTATGAAATACACATACTAAGCCTTCTCTAATTAGGCTTAGACAGGTGGAGAGGGAGTCCGAATATCAACAAGAGGGGGTCCTTTTAACATTGCCCTTGACTAATGTTCGTTTCTCCATGGAATTGTAACATTTATGGACAGGACTGCCCAGTAACTAGCCGCAGGTTGCCATATATCGGAATTCGGCAAAACGTGATGATTCCGAGGATGCAACCTTGGAACTAGATCCGTAACTCCCATTTCCTATACTCGGTGTATTCTCACTTCACCGAAAGAGATCAAGCCACAGAATCAGGCGTAATACTGCAAGATATGGCATAATACTCACCTGACTAACAATTCGGTCTCCGCGACCAAGCCGGACACGAGAAGTATTCAGTATTTAGTTCACAACATATCGCCTCCACGCAAAACGAAAAAGTCGAATCCTTGACCCTTTTCAATTCCAAACTATGACTGCAGGCAATATCTTCGACAATCCCCCCGCAGTGGGAGCGCCATATTACACTCCAGCCCAGACACCACCATCAGGCACCGCAATTAGCGAAAATCCACCCAAACTCTTCAAACCGCTCACGGTACGAGGAGTCACATTCCAAAACCGCATCTTCCTCGCCCCACTGTGCCAATACTCCGCGCAAAATGGTTACGCGACAGACTGGCACCTTACGCATCTAGGGGGCATCATCCAACGCGGACCCGGACTGGCCCTGATGGAATCGACAGCCGTCCAGAAAGAAGGCCGGATTACACCACAGGACATCGGGTTATGGGAAGACGGACAGATTGAACCGCTGAAACGCATTGTCGACTTTGCTCACAGCCAAGGCCAAAAGATTGGTGTCCAACTCAGTCATGCCGGTCGCAAGGCGAGTACCGTTGCGCCATTTGTGTCGATGAATGCGACTGCAACTGAGGATATTGATGGGTGGCCCGAGAACACCTTTGCGCCTTCTGCTATTCCTTTCAACGATGTGTACCCGCGCCCCCGGGAGATGACTCTCGTTCAAATTCAGGAGTTCAAGGATGCGTTTGTTGCCGCGGCGGTGAGAGCAGTTAAGGCTGGGTTTGATGTTGTGGAGATCCATGCTGCACACGGATATCTCATTCATCAGTTCTTAAGTCCGATCAGCAACAAGCGGACCGATGTGTACGGTGGAAGTTGGGAAAACAGGACGAGGTTGGTGTTGGAGATTGTGGGCCTTGTTCGAGTTGCGATTCCGGAGACAATGCCGTTGTTTGTGCGCATCAGTGCGACGGACTGGTTTGATAATATGACAGACGAGTTCCCTGAGAGCTGGACCGTTGCTGATAGTGTCAAGATTGCTCCGATCCTTGCTAGTCGCGGTGTTGACATTTTGGATGTCAGTTCTGGTGGTATCCATCCATTACAGGGAACTAGCATCAAGTCTGGTCCTGGTTACCAGGCGCCTTTCGCGCTTGAAATCAAGAAGGCAGTTGGGAATAAGATGATCGTTTCGGCTGTTGGAGGTATTCGGACTGCTGAGCTTGCCCAGAAACTCATTGATGATGGACTGGATGTGGTTATGTGTGGTCGTTGGTTCCAGAAGAATCCAGGATTGGTCTATTCTTTTGCTGATGAACTTGGGGTTGATGTGAAGATGGCGAATCAGATTGCCTGGGGATTCAAAGGCCGACGAAGAAACAGAGCACCAAGCAGGCAGCCTGACTCTGGAATTGTATAGTGGCTGTTTGAAGAAAACTTGACATAACGAAGAGAACTGGTCAATATTATATAGACCTTGGAACGCTGTAGGATAGAACATAGGATAAATGCCGGCGTTTGTCGCGTAATTTCAAGTCAAAGTCCAACCGAACTTTTCTTCGACTCAAGAGGGAATATCCGTAAACCAGCTTGCAAGATCCGGCAAATCAAATCTTCCAAGGAAGCCAAACTCCTCTTGACCCAAGCCCATCTCATCCCAGGTCGTGAAAATATTGCAATCTGTGTTATTGGAGTCTTGACGGATATCATGTTCCATAGGCACCGGCTCCGTGGGCTGCGACGGTAATTCAGGTCTGTCCACTTGCTGGTTTCCTTTTTGGTGCAGCTGATTTAGAGCCAGAGAGGTGGTATCACCAGGTCGACCAGTTGCTATTAATATGTTAAGACATATAACGAAACTTGAGGCCAGGATGACATACCGGAGTAGCTTTGTACGATGTGCTGATGCGTTACTTGTAAAAATTGCAGGGAGTTCCGAGCGGATTGACTGAAGATAGCCATAAATGCCAAGATCTCTTCACACTTGCGCCAACTCTCGTCAACCTTTTGTGTGTCGACTTGCTCTCGGATAGAGTGGCAGGAATATGACATGATCAAGATAAAGCCTGCAGTGGAGGTGTCTACGATACGTTAGTAAAATAAGAAAGATGATGTAGAAGAGCGATCACCAACAAAAACCGTTGTACCACCATGTGTCAGTCACTGTGGTTCGATATGTCTCGTGCACAAGAGAAACCAAGTCCATGGCGGCTACCACACAGCAAGCGGCGCATTTAGAGAAAACAGATGAATAAATTATGTTTTTCTCCGTGGGTAATGCGCTACCTCTGTCACCGGATTGAGTATCAGATCGACGGGATGATCCTGTTCGCTCCTCAGAACAAAGTTGGGTGAACATAGGGCGGTATAAAAGAAGACGCAGGTGGATGAATCTAGTATCTGTCAGCGGTGGAGCATCAATATCTTGAAAGAATAGGCTACCTGGTACGCAATACATTTTGTTGGCGCTTGAATATCGCAGAATGAGTGTTACCGGTGCGGTGTCGCGCTTGCTCGTCTGTCCAGTTCAATGGTTGAGGCACATTTGCTTCAAAGGCAGAGAGCTTATCATCGAGCTCCATCAACACATCCAAGCTACAGTGCTTGGCGCCACGCGGCGAGGCAGTGAGAGTGTTATTTGACCGGCTCTGCCATGCATTGTAGACCTCAGATAGAATGGATTCGAGAATCTTGTATAACTCAATGCTCGAGACATAGAATGTCATATACCCCATCTTGTGATCACAGGCTTGTCCGCTGAGCTCGCAAGGATCATCCGCTTGTATATCGCTCTCCATAATGGGCAGTGGCACCGGTGCGAGGTGAGAGGTCATGCTTGGTCTACCATGAGTCATGCTCACCATCCTGTTTTATTGTTAGCCATGTGAAGCGGATATATACGGTTGATGCACTAACATATCCATGATAACACAGGTATGCCACGTTCGCCGCCGAATTTCGGTTTCTAGGGGTTTATAAGACGTTTGAGCAGTTGTCTCATGCAAGCCGAGTCCTTGCGCCGCTCGGCATGCCAGACCAATTGCGTTCCAACATCGGTTCGGATATGGTGTACTTTGAAGTAGAAGGGATACTAGAACCAGTGTCTGGACAACGCCGATGGTGCCTATGTCCAAGAGATCAAGACCAACAAACCGCTTTGCACGAAGGAAAAACGAGTATACTGCCGCCTCTCGCTCAGCAGCCGGGATATCGGAGAAATGGCAACCAAGGGCAAAGATAACATTGAGCGCGCAATGAAATACCATCGAATTTGCACCGTAATCAAAAGCACCCCCGAGGCCAATGTTGAGTTGCGGCAGTTCAGGCTTTGGTGCCTTATTCGAGCCCCAAAGATTTTCGTATGCTCGCTCAAAGCTTGGCCGATGAAAAAATGGAAACAAGCAGTGGACTCTGTCCCAGTAGCATTCAAGAAGGTGGTCTGCAAGATCTCGGTTCGGCAGAGAAAAGTCGTCAAACCGAAGCTCCGCTGATGGATGACCTAAATCTCTCCAGACCCCGGTGTCAGGGCCCTGGGATCTGGCTGGTTCAGTTTTGCTGTGCCGCAAGGCTGCCATGTATGACTGCAAAGGCATTGATTCTCCTGCAAGACGCATAAAAGAGGCCACCGAGGAGTTCCCATAGTACTGCTGCTCTCCGGGCGAGTCCGTGTCTTCGGCATCTTCTGCAACTGATATTGCACCCATAGCTGTAACATTACCGTGTGAGTTGACAGCCGGGGAATGGTAGATGCTTGATTCACGTGGCCGAACAGACCCAGGAGAAAGATAGGCGGCATGTGGGGTTCTGTAGTTTTGTTCTGCTACCGATTGCCTTCTTTGTGCAGTAAATCGCGGAGGTTGAAATGCAGATGTTGAGGACAAGGGGCTCTGCGCGGGCAACACGGGCGTCGCACCTAGTCCGAGAAGCCCTTCAGCGGCAACAGAAGTTCTAGACTGTGCATCCAGTGGATCCAAGTCCATGTCTTGCCCCAACTGACTCTCGGGCCTTTCCGATGCCATATCATCTCCATGCTGTGGCAATTCGGGGGGTACATCAACACCACCTTTTGCACATGCTTCTTCAAGGTCTCGGATGCGAGCATGGAGAATCTTCAAGTACTCATCATTGCTCGCAGACCGAGCATTATCCAGCTTATATACGCATTGTTCGACAGTGTATGAGCGTCGTACACATGGGCCACAGATCGGCTTTGCACCGTCACATCGGACCTTTTTATCGCGACATGACTCGCAGGCGAGAGCGATCTTGCGACGACGAGGTGTTTCCCGTTTCGCGATTCCACTTTTAGGAGGCATCTGTTCAACACTTGGTCCAATCAACCCGAAGAGGCAGTGATATATGACGACCCACAGCGATATGCGCGATTGGCATTCCGGGTTGTTGCCGAAGGTGGGCGTTCGCTCATGGTCAGGGAGAAACAATTCCGGGATGTACCCGGATGATAGTCACGTGCCACAATCGTTGCCTTATGGTCGCAACCATTCCCTATTTAGAAGAAAGCTAATGCGGGGGAGAAGTACGGGGAAAATTAGGCCAAGGACTATTTTCATCAATCTGAGTTTGCGGTAAAGGTGCTGACTGGCTGAAATTCCGGTCTCACTTATTAGGCCCGGGAACGACATGGGGTGGAACCCCGGAACACACCCGGAGGTCACCTTGCAACCCGGGTGCATCCCGGGCTCCATGTGCTCCTTCGTCATAATCAAGAGGTCCCCCAAATGAAATTAACTGGCAAGAATACTTCCGATATCTAGCATCCTCTCAACCCGCAACTAGCCGTCGCTCAATTCTGCATACTGTTATTCTCGAGAAAACCTCCGGCGCTTCCGTCTGAACTATACCGGTCAACATCAAAACATCAAAGCCACTCCGTTCCAGCTAGTGTATGTCGCAGGGAGCATAGCATTTCGTCACATTTCAATACCTACAGCACAATCCAGTCGTGATTAGTCTATTCATCGGACACCAAAATGGAATACGAGAATCCCCTGGTTCAGAGGGACCATAATATCCTCTCTGAATCCTGCCCATGGCAGGTTGACAAACCCCAACACCTTTCCCGAAACCGAGTGTCAGCTGAAGAGGGCCTTCAGTGGGGATCGGATCCCAGTTTCTGTTATCATGGCTTCTCTTGTCCGATCGGTACTTGGACAGAAGAGCGCCTGGTGCAGAACCTGATGCGAAACATGGCCAGCATCTGTACCAGTGTGGACATAGACTTTGACATTTCCGAATCTACAAACTGGTCACCTCCCAACGCTCCTCAAAAAGACCCCTCCGATTCCTTAGGCTTGAATGGGTTCACACTTCCCATGTTCCAGCCCTCGACTGTTCAGACAAATGAAAGACTCTCCGAGACGCCTTCTTTGTCTTCCTCACCCAGTCAAGGACAAGCACCCTCACCAGAAAACACCACATGCACTCGCCGAGCAAGCTGCGTAAAAATGGAAAATAAATCAGGGCAAAAAAAGAGGAAATGCGTCCAGAAGCCAGGCCAAAAATTATGCCATTGTCGATCGGAAAAGAAACGAAGGGAGATTATTGGAGAGAGGTACCGAGAACTCTGTCAAATTGTTCCGGGGTTGGAGAAACACTCATATACAAGGAAATATATTCTTGAGGAAGCTGCATTGTGGATTCAGTCTTTACTTCAAGGGAACGATGCCCTACAGCGGCAACTAGGGAAGCTGAAAGAGCAGGAAAAAATGAACCGGTTGCGCCTATTCCCTGCTGAGGAGGACGATCAAAAGCTCACATATTAGGTCTGGTATACACAGGCCTCCTTGTATTAATATTCCTCATGATTATGAAAAACTCCAATCTACAATAATGAACATTTTTGGCGACTCTATTGTCAAGCAGATTAAGAAGGCCGTCAAATTGCGGAATGTGTTATGTTTTGAAACTCATTCCAACCCACATACAACATAACTTGTAACTTATAATAAGAAAGTACTGAGTATAGCAAGCCCATTGGTGTCAACTAATGAGCCTCTGGGTACATACAATAAGCCCTCCCAACAGCATCAAACATTCCTTTTCTTTACCAGTCGAGCCAGTAACAAGGTTTCTACAGCCCTCGTGTTAAAAAGGGGTGATCCATTTCCCAAACCCAGTCCTCGATCAAGGCTAGGAAAACTTATTGTCTGGGCTGGAGTAGACATCAGCTTGGTGCGAAAGATAAGATCCATGACTTTTGCAGTATCCCGAGTGAAGGTGCAGCGGATCCCTAAACATTCGGTACGTAGTAAAAGTGCGAAACAAATCGCCTGTGATTTGATAAATGACCAAAATGCTAGTATATAGCTACTAAGTAGGTAAAGTTATGCGTTTATAACTCGACACGACTTCATAGGCAGCGATACAGAAATACTATCTCCTTCTACACTCAAAGAAATTTATTCATAACAAAAAATAAAACAATCAAAAATTAGTATACAACAATCTACAAGGGCGGTCCGATAGTAGCAAGACCCTTAGCGAAGCGCCGAATCTGATCAACATAATAAGTCTAGTAAAAAAAAGTCAGCAAACAAACACAGCGCAAAAGCAGATATCAAATCCACAAGAAAACGAAGGGAAACAAGAAACTCACACTCTCAGCCCCAGCCCCAGCAAGATGCAAAGGCAAAAAGCGCGTATACCAAGGAATAGGCGCCTTGTTCAACTGCATGCCAGCATTCCCCTCCGTAACGCTCTCATCCAACAGAAGCAAAGGGAATTTCGGATCAACAGCCGCCGGCCGTCCAATGCCTACAAGATCACAAGCCTCATCAAGAATAGCCGACTCAGCACCAGCCCGCGTCCGGAATCCACCAGTCAACATAAGCACAAGATCTGGGTGACGTTTGCGTACTTCCTTGGAGAATTCAAGGAAGAAAGCCTCGCGTGCCGCTGTACGAGCCGACTTGGGCAGTTCGGTCGTTTCTGCGTCTGTTTTGGCGTGTCCCATCATCTTGGGGTCTTCGTAGGTTCCGCCGCTTATTTCCATGAAGTCGATTCCGGCTTCTGCTAGTAGGGCGATTTGTGTCATTGTTTCTTCGAAGGTTTTTGAGCTGTGGTCGGCTGAGTTTAGTTTTATGCCGATGCAGAATGTTGCGGGGACGACTTTGCGTGTTTCAGTTAGGATGTCTAGGACGAATTTGGCGCGTTTTGCGGGCGTGCCACCGTAGGCGTCTGTTCGGAGGTTTGTCTGGGGTTTATTAGTCTGTGGGGTTCCTTTTGATATTACATTGAAGGGTTTCGGTGGTGGCTGTGCCATACCTTGCTGTTGAGGAATTGATCTAAAAAGCGTCAGCCATATACTCATACAGAATTCAATGACAAGACCTGGAACCAGAGCCAGAATTAGAGCCAGAACCAAAGGTGAGAACATACCAATCAAATACCCATGAGCACCATGCAACTGAACCCCCGAAAAACCAGCATCAGCCATAAGCCGCGCAGTATCAACAAACTGCCGAATAACCCGTTCAATATCGGCATTCGTCATCTCCTTCGGCTGCGACCAAACCAAACTAGCAACAATCCTTTCAATCAATCCATCCCCGATCTTAACCGGCACAGCAGAGGGTGCCAGAGTCTGCGCAAACATACCGCGGTACCCAGCAACGCGGAAGGACTGTCGTCCCGGGTGACAGATTTGCACGATGGCTGGTGTGCCGTGTTTCTGGGCTGCGTCGGCGTATTTCTTCCATGAAGAGACTAGTGCACTGTCGGTGGTTGCGCCTTTGTATTCTGTGTGTAGGGCTGGATCGAAGGGACTGCCCATATGATTGACGTCGACTTGGACGTTTCCTTTTTTTAGGTTAGATTGCGGTTATGTATGTTGGGTAGGGAATGGGGTTGGGTTTGTTTCTTACCTGTTAGGATACTACCCCATCCGCCCTCAGACCATTGAGAGTAAGCGTCGAGGAGAGGGTCCGTTGGGTGGTTTGTCTTGGCCATCATCTCGGCCATGGCGGCCTGGTTGGTCGTTAGTATTGTGAGATTTCGAAGGAATGGGGGTGTGCATACCTTGCTCAGTCTGTTCGGTAGAACAAGTCCACATGGTAGCTTGACGGGGTCTGCAAGAGGGGAAGGCATTGTGCGGCTCTTCTAGCTTGATATGCTAGATTCGATATACAATATGCAAGATATTGTGTATCGTGAGGGGATATTCACAAGATAAACAAGCACAGCGGCAGATCCGTCAATCCAATTAATTACAGTCAAAAAAAAAAAAAAACCTCGTCAACCGGTACTCAGATATTAATAAATAAATCTCAATTCACGAAAACCCGCGATAGAAGCACCTCGAACCAAAAAGATAGTTTCAACATGAAAATTGCAGGACCTCGGCCTCGTGCGGAGAGATTGATATCCCCGAGTGAAACCACAAATGAGAGCATTGGATGTAAATTTTACTGTGTGGGGACATGTGAGGCACAATGATGTGCGCCACATGGGTGTGGAGCTCAGGGGAATATCCGGCGGGGAGTTGAGTTCATCCGACTACCGTTTGAAAGGTGTGTGGTAAGATATACGGAGTGTGAAGCTTATGGAAGCAACCTTGAAGATGAATAATAGCGGACTGAATATAGTACACTATATACAGTGGAGAAAGTAGATATTTTGTGTTCATTTATATGGCAAAGTTATTTCCTAACTATTCCCACAATGCAAAGTCCTCAAAAGGATCCGGAAAGCAAAATAAGTGATGGGTATTCAATCAGAAGAAAAGAAGAGGAAAACAAATATCGTGTCCAATCCCAAAAAGAGAAGGATGAAAAAAGGGACAAGAAGAGCGCGCTCGAAACCAAAATAAGTAGAAAGAGGAAAAGTCACAAGTGACATGCGAGTCCATCACGCAGAGATCCTAAGCGCTGACAGTGATTAGAACAGATGTTTTTTCAAGGACAAAGATGAAACAATGCAAGCGCCACGAATGATGAGTGGTAGCAAAAGAAAAGAAAACAATCAAATCTTACAGCTTAGCATTCTTCTCCTCGGTAGGGGAGCCGTTCGCCGTGAGGGGCGGCGAGATTGTGCCGAGGCTGGAGAGAAGGTGACCGACCTCGCGCTCCAGAGCGCGGACCTCAGTGTGAGGGTCGTACATGCGGGCCTTGATCCAGTTGTCCATCTCGACGTCGCTCATAGAGCGGAGCGCAGTCTCGCGGTCGACCTTGTCCTCCTGGGCGGCGCGCATCACCTTGCGGGTGACAACGATGCTGACCTCGCGGATGCGGGTGATGTCCGGGTAGAGGAGGCCACGCTCAAGCTCCTCGGAGGTGAGGGCTTGCGAGAGGGCTTCACCGGAGGCGTAGATCATGCTGTCGGTGACGCGGACGGCCTTGGACAGGATGCTGCCCAGGCCGATACCGGGGAAGACGTACATGTTGTTGCCCTGGCCGGGGTAGTAGGTGCGGGTCTCGCCGGCGGAGTTGGTGAAGGTGCAGGTGGGGAAGGGGGAACCGGAGGCGAAGAGGCAGCGGCCGTCGGTGTTCTTGACGGCCGTCTCAAAGTCACACTCGGACTTGGAGGAGGGGTTGGAGAGGGGGAAGATGAGAGGGGCGGTGTTCCAATCGGCCATCTTGCGGAGGATCTCAGGGGTGAAGACACCTCCCATAGTGGAGAGACCCATGAGAATGGAGGGCTTGACGTGGTCAATGACCTCCTCGAGGGTCTTGTACTGCTCGCCGTTGTTGTCCTGGCGGGCGAAGTAGACCTTGTGGTCAGCGAGCTTGTCACCGCGGTCGGCAGTGACGAGACCCTTGGTGTCGACGAGGTAGAAGCAGTTGCGGGCCTCGTCCTCGGTCATGCCTTCGCGCATGAAGAACTCGACGATCTGACGGGCAACCCCGACACCGGCGCTGCCGGCACCAAAGAACACAGCGCGGTGCTCCTTGCAGGGCAGACCGGAGCGCTTGACAGCATTGATGACACCGCCGAGGATGACAGCGCCAGTACCCTGGATGTCATCGTTGAAGCAGGTGTATAGATCACGGTAACGCTCAAGAGCGGGGAAGGGGTTCTTGAAATCCTCAAATTGGATGACAATACTAGAAGTTTTGTTAGACTAATGATCACCCGAGATGCATGTGAAGGTGAGTCACTTACCCGGGCCAGCGCTCAGTAAGAGCACCCATCAGCTCGTCCAAGAACTCCCGCTCCTCCTCGGAGGAGATCTTGTCACGACGGCTACCCATGTACAGCGGGTCTTCCCGGAGGGCCTTGTTACTGGTACCCAGATCGAGAGTCAGAGGCAGGGTTGCCTCGGGACGAATACCCGCACAGGCAGTGTACAGAGCAAGCTTGCCAATGGGGATACCCATGCCGTTGATACCCAGATCACCCAGTCCCAGAATACGGGAGCCATCGGTGATACATGTGATCTCAACATTGGGCTGGGGCCAATTGGCAATGACGGAAGCGAGATTCCCGCGATCCTCCCAGCTCAGGTACATTCCTGCAGAGTTGTTAGCTCCGGTTCTAATTCGTCTCATGCGGGGGAATCTCATGCGGGGGAATTACCTTCGGGTTGCTGGTAGATCTCGGACCAGCGTTGGCAGGCCTCGCCCACCACTGGGGTGTAGATCAGAGGCGTCAATTCCTGCAGGGATCCGTGGATGTTAGTTTTGCTCCGGTCCAATCACGTGTGTTCAACGTACCCTGAGGTGGTCGGTCACGAGACGGTAGAATAGGTGCACATTGTTCTTGCGCAGAGTGCTGAGGTAGAGGAATTTGTCGATAGGGGTGTTCTTGAGACCGAGCTGGGCCAGGCATCGTGTCTTTTGGGTCTCGTAGCCCTCGGCGCGAGGGGGAGTGAGGCCGTAAGTGCGCAGGTACTTGCGGATGTATGACGGGTTGGCAGTATCGTAGTTGGCGTCACTATACGAGGTCAGTGATGCTCGTAGCATCTCGTCGCGATTGACTTACGCTGGCGAGGCGTGGTTGACAAAGGGCGCTGCGGTGGCATGCACCGACCGGGTTTGAGTAGACACTTGAGGGTATCGAGCCATTGTGATCGACTGAGATTGCTTACTCAAGTTCGAAGTGGAAATGTATGAAGAAAAAAGAGACCTGGGAGCAGACGTCGAGCAGTTTTTATGTACACGCAACATATTAAATTTCCCCTGGGGAGCGAGCATTCCGAGTGGAAAAAGAACCAGAGAATTAACCGGGACAAAAGGCAACGTATAGTAACAAAAGAGTCATGATTCGAGATCGGGAAGACTCGGGGAGGTCACGGAAGGGACCCATGTGGGTATCATCTTCGGTGGTGACAGCGAACCGTTGTTCGTGAAAGAGTTAGGAATCTGGATCCAAAGCTTTTTTTTTTAAATTTTTTGGAGAGAGCAAGGGGAGGGTGGAGACGCCGACTCCGACAATGCGGAGATCAGTTGAATATTGGAGATGAGACATCACAGGGATTGCAGCGTATAGTTGCGGGATTTATGTGACTGGGAGCTACAGTACGCAGTACAGATGAGTCTTGACGTGTGTGATGCATATCACGAGAATGCAAGTACAGTAGTATACTCCTGTGAGTGCTGACATTTACGTGTAGAACTGTGAATACTTCCAGCTCCCTCTGATTGGACGTTATAGCCGGGGAGGGACCGCCATGGATCTTGCGCCTTTGACTCCACAGCTACGAGCTACCAGAGCCGCAGACAGTGCCGAAGTGGAGTTCTTAGCCTGTCGCAAGTCTTTTTCCCTCTTTGCCTTCTAGAAAGATCACGGGAAAATAGATTCGGCGGCCGGCGACGGAGACTGCCGCTCAATTGTCGCTTACATAGCCTCGATAGGAAAACCATCCGGTGTCTTCTCCCCGGTGAGTCCTTTCGGTGTGTTTCGAATCCGCCGTCTTGGTGATATCTGCTCCGTGAATGGCCTCAGCCGCCGACAGGCCCCAGGGGTATATACATATCCAGCACGGCCACTATTTTTTTCTCATTCGGACTTCCCTTTCCAGGGCTGGAACAGCATCCACTGGCCACATCAGCTCGACTTCGGAATCTAGGGATCTGCCTCGCACTGATTGGATCCCTTGTCCGTTGTGTCAGGCTTCTATTAATAATTATTAGACTCTTCTCTGCTGCGTACAGGGCATCATCTGAGCGGATTCGTCAGTGCTTTCCCAGCACTTCCCAACGTTGGGAAGGCTTGTCAGGGCTTGGCCTGTGAGTGTCGCGTGGGAGATGCAAGGAGGTGAAGCTATATACGTATTCTCCCTTGGAATGAGATCATATGTCGGAAAATGCCTCAGAATGTCGGGCTGTTGCTGAGTACAGGTCTTTGTTTTCTCAATGAAAAAAAGGAAATATTTTTAATACATATTTTAGTGTATACCCTGGTCTAGACAATGGAGACCCTTATGGACATGACCCAATGGTTAACTCCCATAGCTCTCCCCAGACGATCATCCGATCCATACCGATTAGTCCAGCTAATACGGAGTACAGCTATCCATCCATACAATATCCCTAGTCCTACCCAACTATCTAATTAATTATATTCCAATTGGATTCAATTGAATTGAATTCAATTGTCAGTTATGTCGAATAGCTAGTATAAAGCAAACATTGACGTGACATCAGGTGTCGTCATGCGCCCAAAACAGGTTCTCCTTAGCTCAAGCCCCCATCAACATCCCCATCATCACACCTGGACATCCAAACCACACCACAAATCATTTCACCCTAAGCCTGCCACCTAGAAATCTGCCCATCGGGCCTAATCCAGAATGCCCACCGAAACAGAACCGCTCCTCCCACGCTACGAGGACGACACCTCGCGTCAGCGTCGCCTCCACCAAAAACTACATAGCTACCAGATGGTTCGCGCCCTCTCCGAAGGGTACATGCCAACAACCGAACAAACAATCAGCAATCTCCGCACCCTCCTCGCTTCAGATGTCCTCAATCTCGCCAACAAGGACATCGGCAGCGTCGGTCGCCAGCTAGTGCGGGACAGTCGACTGTGGATCCAGACCTTCATCGAGTTCCTCGCGGCGAAGAACAGCCACGACCAGCTCCAGGAATTCCTGTGGCGCCTGGCCCGTTCGCGGATCTCGGTGGATAGTGGGAGGGTTTCGCAGCAGGCTGCCCACGTGAAGGCGCGGGCTGATACTAAAGCTGGTGGGTCGCTCTACCTTAGCATATGTCTCTCCAGGATGGGGAGGCTTGGCATTGGGTTTCTCTGTGCATAGTCATTCGCTAATGCCTTTTTATAGCTTACGATAGTTTCCGCACGGTTGGGGGGTTGCTCTTGACGAATGCTGATTTTCGGCTTTTTGTTGATGATGTCGTTACTGTTGGGAGGCAGATCTTTGCTGATACTGCCGAATCTCTGGCTGAATCTTCGAAGCTTGTTGCGGAGCAGGTTAAACCTTCTGAAGAGGAGGCTCGGGCGCTGAATGGGGCTGGTGCTGACGCTGGTCATGAGTTGTCGGCGGATCAGGTGAGGGAGGAGATTACACACGTCGCAGATGTTGTTGGCGAAGGCGCTGCGGATACTGGACATGATGCTGTGGAGAGTGCGAAAGAGCATCTGTCTGGTCGAGAGAGGGATACTCTATTGTTCCGATTGAAGCAAGCTGTTACAAGGCTTCGCGAGAGAACTGACTACTCCGACTCGGTCTCGACACTCGCTGAATTGGTTAAGCGCTATGCTAAGATCTACGCCGATGTTGCACAGGAAACTACCTCTGTCGCTCAAGAAGATCTGGATGTAAATGTCGATCTAAAGCGAGCGGTCGACGAATTCTGGGTCCTCTTACGCTCCTTTGGGGACGCTAAAGAATGGGATCGGCTTCAGCAGAAGTTCCATGATGTCCTTCGCCACGCGAATAAGGATCCCGAATTCGATGATCTGTTGGGAGAGGTCGGAACCTCGTTGCAGGATATGCTCACCGACCCTGCCTTTTTCGATTCGGCGCCACAGAAGCTGGACGAACTCAAGCAACAGTCCGAAAAAGTCGGCTCAGAGACGACTCTACGAAAGGACGTGGACAACTTCCTAGCACAAGCGAAGCGGACGTTACGCAGCATCCCCGAAGACCCCGCCGTGTTCAAATTAATCAACGCCACCAAGAAGGTATATCAGCATGCTTGGGCCGCCTACAATGATAAAGCAACCGACCTCCCAGCCGACGTATTGAACGTCTTCTTCCCAGTCTTCCTCCGAACAATCCAATATGTGCCAATCCCACGACTGGAAATATCCGCCCCGGAAATGGATCTACTCCTCGAAAACCTAATCCTCGAACCAGGCCACACAGTAAACTTCTCCTCCTTCCTCCCCTACCGTATGCATCTTCTCACACGCAATGACATCGACATCGTAAAAACCCACTCCAAACGCACAGAAACCCTCATGAAAACAGCCTTCACAATAACAATCCAAGGCCTAAACATCAGCGCCGAAGACTTCGGCTACTGGTTCCGCACTCACACAGGCCTCTTCCACCTAAAAGACGAAGGCATCGCCAGCTTCTACCTTGACCGCCGTGGTATCGACATCTCCCTCGACATCGAAGTCGGTCGCGGCCGCCTAGAGCAGATCTTTTCACTGCGCGGCGTGCGTGTGCGCATCCACAAACTGGATTACAGCGTCACGCGCAGCAGGTGGAGATTTCTGCTCTGGCTGACAAAACCATTCCTGAAACATCTTGTCCGTCGTGTTCTGGAAAAGAAGATTGCCGAGGAGATTGTCGCCGCGGCGCTTGCGCTGAATCGGGAGTTGGTCTTTGCGAGGGAGCGTCTGCGTGCTGCGCGTATTGCTAATCCGCAGGATCTGGCTTCGTTCATCAAAGCTGTGCTTGCGCGACTTAAACCTGCCGACTCGGATGTCCAGGCTAGGATTGGTTTTACGCCGTTAAAGAGTGGGCCTTTCGAGGGTGTCTATGCTCCTGGGAGTATTGTTAAGACTTGGCATGATGAGGCGACTGGTGCGCAGGAAGCTATTGATAATGGGGATGAGACGCAGGGACTAGGCCATACGTGGCGTAATGATATCTTTGATATCACTGGAAGAAACTGAGATTGGATTGGGATTGAGATTGATTCGTGATTTGGTCTTTGTTAGGGATCTGTCAATTTGGCAAACTGTGAAGGATCTCTTTATGATTCACGATTTGGATATGTCTGAAATGGAAATGACTCGATGCGCATGTAACAAACACTCAAAAGCTGTGCCACAGATGAACTTAATACCATCTTCAGTTTAGTCTTCGACTGCAAATATCCAAATATCATAAATTAAATATAATCTCTACTACAACTCCATTTCCCATCTCCCTTTTGCACTTCCTATCTATACACGTGACCCGGCTGAACATTGTTCCTCTCAGGCCACATATCAAAGTAGGTCCAGCTATCAGCATGCGGAGCTAACACCCACCTTCAACAACCCTCTCAATTCCCCCAGGTCAGCGGCTCGGTTTACACCTAACCTAGTGTAACCAACACACTCCATGCCGACTCCATAAACGAACAATCCCCACCATTCCACCACCAAAAACAAAATTGCGAACTGCAGCTCCGACAGGTGGATCGAAGCTTTTAGCAGAGCCGGAGGGAGATACACCAAAACTCAACAAGCAATATACCAGGAAAACGATCGCTTTCAGAATAGAGGACACAAGCTGCGCGCGCAGCTTAACCCGCCAAAATGCAACTATTACGTTTCCTAGTTGCGCTAGCCGTCGTCCTATTCTCAGTCGTCGTCATTGCCGCCGAGGATTATTACAAAGTCCTTGGACTGGCCAAGTCTGCCTCAGAGAAGGATATCAAGAAGGCATACCGAACACTGAGCAAGAAATACCATCCCGATAAGAATCCGTGAGTGAACACCACTTCCCCAATCCCATTATCCTCCACACTTCTCGCAAGCAAATCTAATTTAAATCCCCTTTCCAGTGGCGACGACTCAGCCCGCGAAAAATTCGTCGAAATCGCCGACGCATACGACGTCCTCTCAACAAGCACCCTCCGCAAAGTCTACGACCAATACGGCCACGACGGCGTCGAACAACACCGCAAAGGCGGAACAGCCGGCGGAAGCCACGACCCCTTCGACCTATTCTCGCGCTTCTTCGGCGGTGGCGGACACTCGGGCCATGCGCCGGGCCACCGACGCGGACCAGACATGGAAGTACGGGCCGCGCTACCACTACGGGATTTCTACACGGGCCGGGAAATCAACTTCCTCGTTGAGAAGCAGCAGATCTGCGATTCATGCGAGGGGACCGGATCCAAGGACCACGTGGTGCACACTTGTGACCGGTGTTCTGGGCGGGGCGTGGTTATCCAGAAACACATGCTTGCGCCGGGAATGTTCCAGCAGGTTCAGATGGCTTGTGATGCGTGTGGAGGGAAGGGGAAGAAGATTAAGAATCCATGTCCAGTGTGTGCTGGTAATCGGGTTGTGCGGAAGGAGATTGAGACCAGTGCTAGCATCGAGCCTGGGATGGATAAGGGGACGAGACTTGTGTTTGAGAATGAGGCGGATGAAAGTCCTGATTGGATTGCCGGGGATTTGATTGTTATTCTTGATGAGAAGGAGCCTGAGATGGGGGTTAGTAACGAGGAACGGACTGATGGGACGTTCTTCCGGAGGAAGGGGAGGGATTTGTTTTGGAAGGAGACGCTTTCGTTGAGAGAGGCTTGGATGGGTGGATGGACGAGGGATGTTACGCATCTTGATGGGCATGTTGTTAGGCTTGGACGCGGGCGTGGTCAGGTTGTGCAGCCGCTTGCTGTTGAGACTGTTGCGGGCGAGGGAATGCCGTTTTACTCCGATGGCCATTTGCATGATCAGAATGAGGGCAGTGATGAGCCTGGGAATCTTTATGTGGAATATACTGTTGTTTTGCCGGATCAGATGGAGAGTGGGATGGAGAAGGACTTCCATTCGCTTTGGGAGAAGTGGCACAAGAAGGTCGGTGTTGATTTGGCTAAGGATAGCGGGAGGCCTGTTTACTCGCCTGAAGGGAAGGATGAGTTGTGATTATTAGATTCTTGATTCCCTCTTGCTTTCATCTTTTATACTGTTGACGCTAGCGTGCATTTGATCTGGGCTGGATTATATTAGACCTGGTAGTTAAATGTGAGCATAGACCTTGGTCAGACATGTACTACAAGTCATTCGGAGCCATGCGAAGCACGATTCGTTATCCTCGGCCTCTAGAACTTCATGTTCCTATATTGCCACGTTGGGTAATACCGACGGCCGTTGGCCAGGTATAGACAGACTGCGTGAAGTTACATGTTAGGCACCGCCGCACCGCCCTTGAAGTTAAGCATTAAATCACCCAAAGCTCGCTCGCAAAGGGCCAGGGAAAGGCTCGGAAGTCGGCCGTTTGGATGGGGCAAGATTCTCCCAGAAAACTGTATATGAACGACGTTACTGTAGAAACCCGTTAGAGTCCTCAATTTGACATACTTCGGAAATGATAGTCGACATAACCAGCGTAGTGGCAAATACAATATCTTCCTTTCATCCAAATTCCATCAGCGCACCTAACTCCAGCCCTAACTTTAGTAACTGTCACCCACACGTGGATATATATCGCCCGACCCGCCACATACCCCGAAACCCAAACAGCCCCAAAAACAATTCCCAAAGCCCAAACAGCGCCAACGCACTGAAAACTAAATTCAGTAACAAACTAGCACCGTTTGTTCGCAATGCATACACCCCTTTTCAAGCCGCAGTGGCGGTGGATGGGCAAACAAAGAAAAGAAGGAGAGAATACATGTACAGCGCATAAGCTAGATCTAACCAACTGCCATCCGGCTTGAGTTAGCGCGCCCTGGGGATTCGGTCTAGCCGTAATAGATTGCTAGCTAGGATCGAGCAAGGATCAAGCAGGGATACTGACAGTGGTTTGGGACTAAGCCCCATGTTCAACTACACTTGCCGACGTGTTGTTCTTGACCGGCATTTCGGACAGAGATCTATGTCCATGTATCTTGGTGGAGCCCTAATGTCAATGAAAGGGGTGCGATGTGATGTGCGAGACAGATTGGCGCTCATTTGAGCTGGGTTTGGTTGGGCGAACTGGTCTGGAAGCTTCTCCACTTGGCGGATACGGATTTTGGGGAGGTTGATGGGATTAGATAGGAGCGTGTTCAATGGTAATTTGAGGTCTGAGTGTTGATATGATAGAGTTCTCTAAGGTCTGTGATTCCGCCATGTGCTCGTTTTGCTATACATGCGCCATGGCTTATATTACCCTTCAAGTTATATTATAATATGTTCTTGGAACATCAACATGTTGAGACTCTAATATATTATGAGACCATGTCTTTCAGTAACTACCAATACAATGCATATTCAGCTCCTCTTCCATCGGAAATAACATCCACAATTACCTCGTTCTCACTTCACCTAGCAAACCCCGCTCAAACCCCAAACGAACCGAGGACAGAATTAAAGTTAAATAATAAGCCGGACCCACCTGTCATTCCAAATTCAAACGCTCATCTCTCCACAAACCCGCTCTGTATTCCAAATAGACTGTCTCGGCAAAGTATGATATCTCGACCGAGGGTATTCGGTATATGAAAGGATGGCCAGAATGGATAGCCGTACCCTCGTATGGACTACTCATGATCTACAAGCATTGCCGAGGGGCCAGGATACGACGCACGGCAAGGAAAAGGGCCATCCGCTACACAAAGCAGTTCGTCCATGTTGACAGCCAAGCCCAGGTACTTTAGACATAGTTTAGAGAGTCGACATGTTCGTCGACGTCATCGTGCATCTCCGACCACGAACCCCAAATATGGGGAATCCGATATACGGGCTTCTGACATCCGAGCAGCCAATGTTAACCGTCCACGTTGAACGTAGAGCCCCTAGAAGCAAGGAAGATACATACCTCGGCGGCAAGACTGGGCCAGGGCATGATGCAGTCCCTAGTTCTAGGCTTGCGGAGCGAGGCGTCTTCGATCCGAATATACGGTTCTGCAGAATGAAGCACAAATAACCAAACTACTGGACGTTGTGGCGTTGTTTTGAAACGTCGCTCAGCGGAAGTTCGTATCGATGTACGTTGTGCTTATCTGTATTGCGCATCTCGTATCTATATTCGATACCCTGCATACCATCTCAAAGAGAATGGAAGTAACTAAGTGGAGGGGTTTACATATCTGCATGCAGGTGCCGGGATTCCTTTGACGGCAGTAAGGAACTCAGTGGAGCTCCCGAATCATGGCGTCTAGCCACGGTGCTGGGCGTAGTTCTTATTCCTTAATCAGTAATGTCCCGAGGGGTCGGGAGGAGCTCTATAGTACAAACAGAGTGTTGGTCGCCAGTTGCGATGTGGAGATTTGCTGTTTCATGGGTTTGGGAGTTTGGATAGGTTGTATGATAGGTTTTGGATTGGCACTAAATTAGTCTAAGTGTTCGGGGTTTGTCGTGCAATGTACTAACTAGCAGGGGTGTACTGTGTTCTAGCAGGGATGTAAGGTTTAAGTAACGTTACCCTAAACAATACCTAGTGCAATTGGATCGTTCATTCGGCAATTGTTTCTTTTTTAAATTAATCCTCTAATAACTAACACATTTTACATATAATGGCAGGCAAAAAGGCTCTGGAAGGCAAGGAGTATACCAGCTAATATTAAATAGTCGACCTTTTGCAGAATAATCGCACTATAGTTCAGGAGGAGCTTCCACAGAAGATTCTTTGCAAACAGAGAGGTGGGGGAGGGGATGGAAAGCTAGGAAAGTGACTAGTGGGCTTTGTCGCAGTCGGCGGGTTTTCTCATATTGTCCACCCAATCACAGCTCGATAATAATAGCTTTTAGCGCTGAAAAACACTGGATATGACAGCGATCCACAAACGTGCGTAGCTGAAGTTGGGTTCTACAAATAAACGGTAATATGCGTCTCTCCGGAGGTGCAGCGTCTCGGAATTGTTGGCCTTGCATCCGATTCTGTGGTTCGATATTTTTGGATTGCATAGACTGCAGTATATGTAGCTAGCTGCATATGGATCTATACAACGTTATACAGGGCATGTATGGGGAACACGCGACAACCGGATTCCAACTATATTTTGTGATTTGATTGGGAGACTTTGTGTAACGGATCCACGTTATTACATGAATGTATCATAATACTTTCTTTAATAACTGTAGTTGAAGCGTCGAAGGATTGTTGTGTATTTACACGTGAGGAAGTAGCTCGTGCATGAACTACTCTCCAGAAGATTATGCTCTAGGGGTCCAGACTGTCTCAGAGATCGGCGGAATTGAGCGCATACGCAAATCCCGTTTCTTTCGGGCATCGCGATTGTCGACGCTTGGACGATTGTGCGACTAGATATATGGCCGGTCCGCATTGATGTGAGATCCAGGGAGCTTCTGGCATCCATCCTATTCCAACATCCAACGCTATCTAAATCTTACACTCAATTCCTACATCCTGCTTCTACATCTGACTATTATACCCTACACACCTCCAACCTGTACATATTCCAGCATCAGGGAAGATGCGTCCATTATTGTTAGACACTGTCGTCAGCGACGAAGGCATAGCTCCCGATGCTCTGGAACCTATTGCAATCGTCGGCCTTGCAAACCGTTTCCCCCAGCAAGCCTCAACCACCGAGGGTCTATGGGAGCTGCTTCTAGAATCCCGTTCGACATGGTCACCTATACCCAAGGAAAGATTCAATTCGGACGCCTTTTACCACCCTGACCCCGAACACGGGGGAACAGTATGCTGTAACCATTGTATGCTTTCGGTATTATCAGCCACTGACCTTCTGTACCTAGTTTCATGTCCGAGGAGGTCACTATCTCTCTGAAGACCCCGCCTACTTCGATGGATCTTTCTTCAATATTACCAAGAATGAACTCTTGACTCTTGATCCTCAACAGAGGTTGGTCATGGAAAATGTATACCACGCTTTGGAAAATGCAGGTATTCCTCTATCCAGTGCTGTTGGCTCCAACACATCCGTTTTTGTCAGCGGATTCAACCATGACTACCTTGGAATCCTCAATTCTGACCCAGAGACTTCCCTTAAGTACAAGCCTACGGGCGTCACCAACGCCATTCTGTCAAACCGTGTCAGCTGGTTTTTTGATTTCAAAGGTCCCAGTATGACCATTGACACAGCTTGCTCCAGCAGCTTGGTGGCTTTACACCTCGCTGTGCAGAGCCTAAGGGCTCGAGAAACCAGCATGGTGTGTTTTATTGCCGTCATTGATGATGAATACTAGCAGACTAACGCGTGGGCATAAATAGGCCATCGTTAGCGGTGTGAGTATCCTCGAGAACCCCGTAGAGACCATCGGCATGAGCCACCATGGTCTTCTGGGGCCTCAAGGACGTTCATTTAGTTTCGACTCACGTGCCGAAGGGTATGCGCAAGGTGAGGGTGTGGGCACAATTGTGGTGAAGCCTCTGCATACAGCGCTGAGGGATGGTGACTCTATTCGCGCGGTCATTCGTGAAACTGGTGTCAACCAGGATGGCCGCACTTCAGGTATCACAGTGCCCAGTGCCGATGCCCAAGAAAGACTTATACGTGAGGTATACTGGAGAGCTGGTCTGGATCTTGAAGATACACGACTCGTGGAAGCCCATGGCACGGGAACAAGCACCGGAGATCCTATCGAAGCCGGCGCCCTTGCACGCGCATTCAAATGCCGGCGAGATACTCCGCTCTACATCGGAACTATCAAATCTTCCATTGGACATCTGGAGGGAGGCTCCGGCGTGGCAGGAATTATCAAGGCTATCCTCACTCTTGAATCCGGCATCATCACGCCCAACTATGACATGAAGCAAGTCAACCCTAAGATCCCTGCTGCAGATTGGGGCATCAAGTTCCCCACTGAGAATATTCCGTGGCCCTCGCAGGGCTTACGAAGGATATCAGTCAACTCATTCGGAATTGGTGGCACCAATGCTCATTGCATCCTTGACGACGCCTACAACTATCTCGATGATCGCCATCTCGCAGGAGCTCATTGCACAACTCCGATTGTTCCAACAAAACAGAATATAAAGCGCCAGCTGTTGGCCATTTCCAAAGTCGCAAAAGACACAGACCATAGCTTCTCAGATAGCGCAGTGGAAAGTGATCACTCAGGGAATGGATATGACACCCCTTCAACTGATGGGTTCTGCTCCTCACCTACTTACACCTCCACTGGCTATACAAACCTGGGGGACCAACAGAAGGTTTTCCTGCTCTCTGCATTCGATGAGGATGGCGTCAAACGAAATGCATCTGCACTAGCCAAGTATCTCAAGTGCAAGATGAAGCAGTCAGGCCTCCACACACAACTCCTCGATGATCTTTCGTTCACTCTGTCCAAGAAAAGATCCCAGTTTCCTTGGAAGAGCTATGTCATGGCATCTTCTGTTAAGGAGCTGACATGGAATTTGTCGGAATGCAATTACGTCAAACCTATAAGAATGACCCAATCGCCGGCTGTTCAATTTGTGTTCACTGGTCAGGGCGCTCAGTATCAAGCCATGGGCCGAGAGCTCATGGTATATCCTGTTTTTCGGGAGTCTCTGGAGGAAGCATCCGACTACATTCGTCGGCTTGGTAGTCCCTGGTCACTACTCGGTGAGAAGATTTCTGTTCTACTGTTGTATGTTCTGGGCTAATATTTCTAGATGAACTGGTAACTGAAAGAACATCACTCCGAGTTAACTTGCCCGAACTTGCCCACCCGCTGTGTACTGCCCTGCAAGTTGCTCTTGTAGAGCTTTTTGCCAGCTGGGGTATTTTCCCAACACACGTAACGGGCCACTCGTCTGGTGAGATAGCGGCTGCCTACTGTGCCGGAAAGCTATCCCGCGAAGCTGCTTGGAAAGTCGCATACCTTCGCGGATATGTGTCTTCTAAGCAACTCTCGGCAAAAGGAGCAATGATGGCAGTTGGTCTCCCTGTGCAGCAGCTAGAGCCATATCTGGAATCTGTGCGGAGGGACTTCGCTGGGGAGCTAATAATTGCCTGTCGAAATAGCCCCAAGAACAACACTGTTTCTGGAGACGAGGCTTTGATTGATTACCTCAAAGACCTTCTTGAGGACGATGCGGTTTTCGCTCGAAAATTGAATGTTAAGAACGCCTACCACTCAGCTCACATGCAAGCTATCGCCGGCGACTACCTCCGCTTCATGGGCACGCTTCCTTATGGAAGGCGGTTGGCAGCTCCACATCCAGTGCACATGTTTTCTACTGTGACTGGAAAGGAAGTCAAAGAGCACCAACTGCCTGGTCAATACTGGGTGGATAACATGGTCTCTCCAGTTCTTTTCACCTGCGGTTTGACTGAAATGGCTTCCCAATCTACTTCCTGTCTTGGTCCAAACAACTCAGATCCCTTGCGTATTCTAGTGGAAATAGGGCCTCACTCAACCCTGCAAAGCGCAATCAAAGAAACTCTCACCTCCAAAAGCCCCAAACTGGAATACAAGTATTTCCCGGTACTCAAACGAACAGATCACAACCAGAACACTATCCTCACCGCAGTTGGCTTCTTAGGTGCTAGCGGCTGCGAGTTAGACTTCCATGCCGTGAACCAAGCGTTTCAATCACAAGCAAGAAGGAGATCCCAACTCTTGGTGGACTTGCCACCATACAGCTTCAAGCATACCGAGAAAATCCTCTATGAGAGTCGGTTAAGCAAGAACTTGCGAACAAGGAAATTCCCACGTCACGACCTGTTTGGCGCACCAATTACGGATTGGAATCCAATTGCACCCAGATGGAGGCACTTTATTAGGTTGGACGAGAACCCTTGGTTGAGGGACCATGTGGTTACTGGCAACTATGTTTACCCTGGTGTGGGCTATCTCGTCATGGTCATCGAAGCGTCGCGACAGTTAGCTGGTGATGGAAAGACCACAGCGAAAATCGCCGGATTCCATCTC